CAGATGCACCTAACAAGCAGATATCCAAGAAGGGTTAGCAGGTTTTCTAGCAGAAATCGCAGTATGAAACTCAACAGCCTAACAAATTTAAAAATCAGGTTTATAAAAATGAAATTCCCTGATATATTAAAAATTCTATAAAAACTCAATAAAAATTCCTTAAAAAATCCATAGAAATTCTATAGACTCCAAATATACAAACAATCTGAAGTTTCCAATATATACAATAAAAATTGATTGAAGAAGTTTACTGCAGAACAGTAACTGATGATAAAGATTATATCTGAAAATCCAATACAGTCATACCAAACAATCTGGGCAACATAAAAGTAGAGACAGTAAAAAAGAGAAGAAAAAGATGCTCTAGTACTTGAGACAAAATACAAAGAATAAGGTAGCTTTCTCCCGGGTGCCAACCCAAAAAATGTTGGTGTCCCAGGATAGAGCCTCCTTTTCCGACCTACACTACAATTTTGTTGGCAGACACAGTGAAACGCAAAAAAAAAGATTATTATCTACAATATAAACAACAGATTTTTTGAAAACTGGCCACGGGCCTAAATATTACATATCAATCAATTACAATTCATTAACATTACCAATATTAAAAACTATCGAAAATATTCAAGAAAGTATTCTCTAGCCAAAGGGCTCAATATTTAAATCTAAATCTTCAATATTGTCTGGTTTATATCGCAACTTGGGCCCTCTGTCCCCCCTTATCGAAATAACCGTTGTCTTTAATACCTCAAAGCGCAAGCGCTTTCTAAGATATGTAACTGAGTCTGAATAACGCTGACCCGTTGGAGATTCCATCTTTTGTGCAAGCTTTTTAATCAAGCGTTGCGCTTCGACTCCCATGCCTCCTGTTGTGGAGAAAACTAAAGGTGTAAAGGTAGCTTTTTCCACTTCTAGGACCCTTGCATTATATGCTCTTTTCAATATAAACAACAGATTGAATAACAGCAATTTCTGTATACCGCTTGCACCGCTTTGTTGGCCAGTATCAACCCCATTTTTGGGACTTTGGTCGCATATACGGCCTAAGCGGTATACAAATAAAGCGTTATTATTATTATTATTATTATACTGAAAGGCACTTTTACAACGATGGTACCTAGTAAACAGTATTCTGAGAAGGGCCAGTCCCCATTTGACTACATGGTTGCCTTTCATTCGTGATTCATAGAACGCCATATTCATTGAACACTCAATGCTAAGTCACCTAACAGATTTCACCGATTATTCGACTGAGTTTGGAGTTGATCACAGGATATTGTAAAAAATCCTTAACCTATCCTCTGAGACTTTATCGACAGTCATGGTTATGCTTTTCTAATAGTAATGGTAGAAAGAGGTTAACTTTAGTCGAAGTCTCATGTCCCATCGTCTTTACGACTTTCAGTTCTGGGGCAGCAAATCTGGAGGCGCGAGATCCGGCGCGGTGCGCCTAAACCAAGACTTGAGACTTTGACTAAAGTTTTTTTGACCTGTTAAAAATTGACGAATTCGATTATTTATAGCTTCGGTTGTAGCGCGATGCACTACTGGGCCACGTCGCTCATCAAATAATTTTTCTCGCGTCGCAACCACAACCTTCGGTAGATCGGCGAAATGCACCACTGGGCCTCGCCGAGCTGCGAAGGATTGATATCGTGAATCAAGGGTTCACCTAACCATGTGCTTTTGTGCCACTGCGGGCGCGCTTGTTTCACAAGGTTCACTGCACAAGTTTCACCGCCGTGAGGCGGGCGCGCGCTACTGCAAGCGCAAGGGCTCTGGCTAGAGCAAAATCAAGGGCTCTGGATAGAGCAAAATCAATGGCTCTGGTTAGATTTATGATTAGGTTATCACCTAACCATGTGCTTTTTGATCTCGCCACGGCGGGTGCGTGGGGGTTTAGTTAAAGCAACTGATTTGGGTTGCTTTGGTATCACGTCGTGACCCCCATTTGCCATTGTCGTTTCACTAAGTGAAACGTTTATACGTTTTTGCGATACAGGGGGAGCCGCGCACTCGTGCGCCGGCGGGTCATACAACGTATGACAAGTTCACCTAACCGTGTACTTTCGCGCCACTGCGGGCGCGCTTGTTTCACACTGCAAGCGCAAGCGCTGTGGATAGAGCAATATGACACGGTTGCTTTAACATTTAACAAAAAACCAAAGTCACGTGATAATTTTTGGGCAAGCGGTATAAATTGATTCATTAACGGCTAATACTCGTAAATATTTTTTCAAAATATCAAAATATGTTTGACCGTTGACGAATCCAACCCCAAATTTAAAATTTGTTAACGGGTGATACTCGTAAAATGTTTGTTTCAAATATCAATACCGTCGACGATCAGTCCAACTCGGTGCGCATCTTAGTAGGTTATAATGTATAAACCTACAACAAATTTGGCGTGTAGTGCCTGCGCGTTTTGTAACACGATGCATGATCGAGCCGCGCATAAAATAATCTTTCTCGCAACTACAACCTTCGTTAGATCGTGCGATGTGATGCATTGTACATTGTACTTGTAGGTTAATAACCTACCAAAACGTGCGCAGAATTGGACTATAGTTGACGGTCAAACCTGAAACCGTCAATTGCAATATATTTAGAACAAATATTTTTCGAGTATCCTGTATCTCACCCGTTAATAATAATAATGCCAATGATTAACACAATGCACCGCTGGGCTGCGAACGGTTGACATCGCGATCGTCAAATAATTTGAAATTTCGGTTTATTTAGAAGAAAGAAATTTAGATGAGCGTGTCAGCGTGCTAATATTAAAATCAGTCATCTACAGTCAACTAGAATCTATGTATTTTCGGACGCTGATTCCGAATCACCCCCCATGACATGGACTTAAAATTATCTCCTTGTGAGATATTGGCGAAAAACTGTCTCGATCACGTGATATGACCGTATTACTATGAGGAAGTTGGTCTAATTTCTCGTTGTATCACGTCGTGACCCCCACCACCCACGGTCGTTTCACTACCGAGTACTGTAGAGTTTCTACGATACAGGGGAGCCGCGCACTCGTGCGCGGCGGGTCATACAACGTATGAAAAATTTCTCGTTAGGGTTAGGGTTTCAGCGTATGTTTTTGTTAAAGATTGGGTTAGGGTTAGGATCAGACTAGATCGAGGGCTAGGATTTCGAATAATCATTCAGGGTCAGCCGTGTTTAAAAAGTCACGTGACAGTCGAGTGTGGAGTGATTAATCATCATCCAAATTTAGAAGAGTATCATCCGTTAAATTTTCATTCATTCTAGGTTGTTCCCGAACCGATATTCTATATGAATATCTGACATATTCACCTTAATCATTAATGCTTAACACTTAAACAACTAAATATTGAAGACAATTTTTTGAAATGTCAATAATATTTTCAAAAATGTATAATACACACAGAGGCAGAGAGCAGGCAGTTGACCAAAAATTTAACAATAATTCTAGTTAGAATAGAGGGGGGGGGGGGGATAACGTATTTTTTGTTTTTTTTGTTTTTTGTTTTTTTGAAAAAATCAATTCCACCTAAACAAAAAAAACAAAAAATTGTTTTTGGCTATTTCACATGAGATAAGGGTTAGATAAGGTTGACAGCACTGTAACACAAATAGATGATAGTAATAAAACTTGAAGCGACAGTAAAATTAACAATTAAAGAATACGGTCTGTTGTTTTCACGAATTCCGAAATACAAATTCAGTAATATGAGGATTCTTCAGTTTTTGAAATTTTAGATAAGAAGGCGGAACATAATTTCAATTACTGCATCCACAGAACAGTCAATTCAACTATAATAAGGTCACATTAATGCCTCAAAACAAACACCGTACATATTGCTTGGTTTTAAGATCGAAGATCCACACTGTGACACCTTCACTGTTGTTAATGTTAATGTTATCAATCGGAATTTTAATTTAACATGGTCCAAACAGCAATAACGAATGAAGTTAGACTTAGAGGTAACAACGACTGAACACGTTCCCATAATTAAGCTACATGTACAATACGGTACCGCGACAATTGACCCCCCGACAATTGACCCCCCGACAATTGACCCCCCGACAATTGACCCCTATGTAATTACACTGGGGTCAATTGTCGCGAAATCTAGGGTTTAGTACGACAATTGACCCCCCGACAATTGACCCCCCATGTAATTACACTCGGGTCAATTGATCGGGTTAGGGTCTGGGTCCTGGGTCAGGATCCTGGGTCAGGGTTTTGGGTCAGGGTTAGAGTTAAGGTTAGGGTTAGGGTCCTGGGTCAGGGTCAGGGTTAGGGTTAGGGTCAGGGTTAGGGTTAGGGTTAGGGTTAGGGTTAGGGTTAGGGTTAGGGTTAGGGTTAGGGTCCTGGGTCAGGGTTAGGGTTAGGGTCCTTGGTCAGGGTCAGGGTTAGGGTCAGGGTCAGGGTCAGGGTCAGGGTCAGGGTCAGGGTCAGGGTCAGGGTCCTAGGTCCTGGGTCAGGGTCAGGGTCAAGGTCAGGGTTAATTGTATTAAATTATATTGTCGGGGGGTCAATTGTCGGGGGGTCAATTGTCGGGGGGTCAATTGTCGGGGGGTCAATTGTCGGGGGGTCAATTGTCGCCCACCCGTACAATACATGTACAAAACTATGTATTACATACAAGACAACAAGAAGCAAACAATAGTATGTAGTAGACACTTTGGCATACATAACTGTTTTTTATCTTAATTTTATTTCTGTTTTTGTTTTTTTGTTTTTTTTGTTTTTGTTTTTTTTTGGAAAAACAAAAAAAAAACAAAAAACAAAAAAAACAAAAAAACATTGTTTTTGTTTTTGTTTTTTTGTTTTTTTTGTTTTTTTTGTTTTTGGTTTTTTTTGGAAAAAACAAAAAAAAACAAAAAACAAAAAAACATTGTTTTTGTTTTTGTTTTTTGTTTTTTTGTTTTTTGTTTTTTTTGTTTTTTCCAAAAAATTAATTCCACCTAAACAAAAAAAACAAAAAATACGTTATCTCCCCCCCAATAGACAATAAATCTAATTTTCTATGGTATTGATGATGATTCAGAGTTCTCTATGAAAAAAGGAGAATCAATGGCTGAAATACCAACAGCTACTCCACCTTCGTTCTCCGTAGCACCCTTAGTTCGAATAAGTGGTCCGACAACTTTATTCTCTACCACTTTGCTGGAATCGTTAGTACAGTACACTGAGTAATATCCAAACTGAAATAATACCAAATCATTATTTAACCGTTTATACAAAGCTCGCTACCGCAGAAGCTTAGAGGCCCAAATATATATACCATCCTAATTGTTCTATAAGTATAAACATGTGCTCCTAAAAACTGGTGATAATATGGACTTGTTTTAATTCTGAATGAAAAGCTTGAATTCGGGATCAAAAGCGGAATAATGACTAAAAATAACAAAACCAACCTCGGAAACAGTATCCAGCTCCTCGGACATGACTCCTCGTCGCACAAACTTATTCTTTAATACTGGCGGCGTTATCTTTCTCATCAGGATGAACTGTGCTCTAGCAGGATCCTCTGCGAGGGATATTAGCTTCTCCTTCATTTCCTGGTCCCAGAGATTATTTCCTCCTCCTTCTCGTTGTGGTTTTAATACATATTGGTCCAAGTGATCTATACCTGTAAAACAAGTGCTCGTAATTTCAGCGGTGAAATAAGCTGTTACCAAATCTGTAGATAGATAACCTGCGTTCCAGAAAGTAGTGCAGCCCGCGCTGAACAAATAAATAATACATTTTTCGTAAAATCAAATATCAATGAGATAGGTAAGTCACTAAGTGAAAATATACCTAATTGAGCATTTTTATCTCCCTCCTCGTCCAAGTTCAGGGGGAGAGTGTCACAGAACAAACGAAGAATATCCTCAGTGGCCTCGGGAGAAGAAGTGTACTTTTGTAGAATATTCCTTTGAGATAACAACATCTGGAACAGCTTCATGTTCACTACCTGATGTCTGACACAGGGTACCTGGGTGTATACGGTTCTGTCAAATGAAAGTTATCCCCCCTAAATCCTATAACTTTAAATTTGATCAGCTGAAGAGTCTAGAAAGTAGTGAGCTCACGGTTACAGCAGTGCTGAACTCCATGTCCCGTCTCGCTCTCCAGAAGTCAGGAGTCTTGAAGTGAGCTGGATCGTACATTGTCCGAAAGTACAGAACAGCTACCTCCATCTCATCTACAAAGTACCGACCATCTACCACGGTACCGTTATCTACTAGGTACTGTGCAGTGAACCGTATTGTAGGGACTCCTGATGTTTCTAAAGCGTTAAGTATCAGCTGAAAGGAGGACGGAATTTAGTCTGATACTTTCAATATAATACAGAACAGTTTAACCTTCGATGAAATGAAATGAAATAATGTGCTTGTATACCGCCCATATGGTTAGCAACTGACACAGGTGCCAGGTACTAACCATGTCAGAGCGGTTCTAAAGGGTGAGGTGAAAATATCCAGCAACAAACAACTAAATCATCTCAAAAACAAATCTATTTAGGAAAAATTAAAACTTTAATTATATCATATAGTAATCATAGGAAGATTTATTGATATATACCACACTATCGATTAACAATAAACCACCAGAAAACTCTTCAAAAGTAACATAATATACTTAAAGGAATCAAAAGAAGGATTATTAATATGTTAATACACATTGCACTAATAAATAAAGATACACCCTACAACAAATCATAAGAACAAAGAAAAAACAGCACTAATCACATACGGTCATATAAATAATGTTTAAGGGTACCTTTGAAACTGTCTACGTTGCGTAGTGATCGTATCTCCCAGGGAAGTGAGTTCCAAGCAGTTGGTGCGTAGTTGGTGAATCGACGTTGATCAATCTTACTATTTGTAGTTTTAGGAGTCTTTAGTCTGTAACAATCTCCTTCTACTTTTGATCTTGTACTAGCTATTGTCAATGGGTTTTCAATCACTACAAGATTCTGTATGTAGGCCGGTGCAATCCCATGCACAGCTTTATAAGTTAACAGGCAGACTTTAAAGAAAATCCTTTGGTCAAGAGGAAGGATATGTGCTCTCTTGTAGTAGGGAAGTAGGTCTTCTGATCGGTCTTTGATATTGTAGATGAACCGTATGGCACCATTGAGGGTTGATCTTAGCTTGTTTAGTCGTGTCTTTGGTAAATTCATGTAAAGAGAATTACAGTAGTCGAGCTTTGATATTACAAGCTGTGTTACCATCATGAGTTTCACTCCTTCATCCAGATAGCGCCCAATCGTCCTTAGATTCATCATTGTCCAGCTGCATTTCTGTTTGACACTATTAATTTGTCTTTCCATGGTAAGAGACTTATCAAACTTTACCCCAAGACTCTTCCAGCTGTCACCTTTACATTCAGTTGGAGTGATAGTTGTGTTTCCGAACTGAATCGTCACCTCCATTTTGCAGTCTTTAAGAACTTTTGATTTGCCTAGGACAAGTAGTTCTGTCTTCGACTCATTGAGTTTCATAAAGTTTCCAACCATCCAATGCTTGATTTCCGAGAGACATCTATTTATCCGATCTTTGACATCTGCAAGTTCGCTTGGGAAGCTTGGATGAAAAGATATGTATAACTGAGAGTCATCCGCATATAGCTGGATGTCTAGTCCAAATTTGGCAGCAATATTCTGAAGGTCTTTAATGTAGAGTATAAACAAGATGGGCCCTAGTAGGGATCCTTGAGGGACTCCAAAGAGGAGTTCAAGAAGAGACGAGATAGTATCGCCAATCTTTACACAGAAATATCTGCTCTCAAGGTATGATCTCATCCATTGAAGGGCTTTCCCAGTTACACCATAATGCTTGAAAAGTTTCTCAAGGAGGATTTCGTGATCAATGGTGTCGAAAGCTGCACTGAGATCCAGGAGTACCACAGCCACGATGTTACCTGCTTGAATCTCCTTGTTTATGTCGTCAGTCATCCTGACAAGAAGGGTCTCACAGCTGTGCTGTGGGCGGTATCCAGACTGGACAGGGCAGTGAAGGTTGTTTGTGTCCAGATGGTCATTCAACTGGTTCAGTACAATTCTTTCCAGGAGCTTGGATATAGCAGAAAGGTTCGATACTGGTCTATAGTTACTTAAACTGTCAACATCAGCGTTCTCTTTCTTAAGGGTTGGCTTAATAACCGCTTTCTTCATTTGAGAAGGAAATGATCCTGTCTCAGTAGACGTGTTTAGGATGTGCAGGAGTACAGGTGTTAGCTCATCCACACAGCTCTTCAGTAGGAATGAAGGAATGGGATCCAGACAGCAGAACTTGTTACTCATCATTTTAACCAGTTTTCTGAGGTCTTCAGCACTGATAGGGGAAAACGTGTGAAGAGTTGAAACATAATCAGGTTCACTTGAAAGAGCAAGTGTTTCCTCCGGGACATTTTTGGATGCATCCAATTCAATGTCTTTCCGTATTTTGTTAACTTTCTCAGCAAAGAAGTCTTTGAAATCCTCTGACAGTTTTACAGGGTCTTGATGTTTTGGGAGATCCTGTGTCTCGTTACCAAGAAGTCTGTTAAGCTTCTTGTAAAGGGCCTTTGAGTCTCCTGATGATGCTCGAAGCGACTCTTTGTTATAAGAACATCTCTTCACAAACTCTAAACTAACAAATCTATCTCTGAGATCTATGTAGTCTTTCCTGGTACCCTTTCCTTTGCGCCATGCACGTTCGGCTGCTCTCCTCTTTTGACGTAGCAAACTAAGGTCTAAGTCAAGCCACGGCATGGGTTTCTTCCGAAATTTCTTCTTTATAACAGGACAGTGCTTATCCATGAGTTGAGTAAGGACGGAGTTATACAGTGAAGTCGCTTCTTCAACAGTTAAAATTGGATCAATAGTTGACAGGTTGGAATTCCTTAGATCATCCTTAAAAATTTCAATGTCTATGGATTTGAAATTTCTGTAGCTCAGAAATTTGCCATTATCATTCTTACTAAGTCGAGTGTCAACATCGAAGAGTACTAGAAAATGGTCTGAGGAAGTTCTTGACTGAACAATGTTAAAATTGCTGATCTTGCTCTCAAGAGACTGGGTAGAGATCACTAGGTCCAGGGTACCGCCCTGATTATGAGTTGGGACTATTGGAACATGTTGTCGGAGGTTGTACTGAGCTAGCAAGTCCAGAAACTTCTTTGGATAGTGTTCATCGGGTCTTTCAACATGAAAATTGAAATCCCCAGTCAAGAGAGGGTTTCCTGGCTTTGCACACAGTATTTTAAGGTATTCTTCAAACTCCTTTAGGAAGTCACATTCTGTGTACCTTGCTTTCTTTGTGTAGGGGGGTCGGTAGATGTTTACTAGTCTCAGCAACTCTGATTCAGCACTCAGAAGTGATTCCATCACTTGAAATGACTTAAACTTGGTCACTTTGGTATTAGGCTTCAGTTCAATCGAACTTCTGTAAACCATTGCTATACCACCTCCACTGCGGTGTTTTCTAGGATCAGAAAGTATGCTCCAGCCACTATCTTTTATCTCAGTGAGTTTTGCTTTGTCGCCATCTCGAAGAAATGTTTCTTGCATAAAACAAATGTCACAGTCTGTTTCCCACAAATGTTCTAAAACACCAACAGTCTTGTTTAAAAGAGATCGGACATTGAAAGTTCCACATCTCAACTTCTTCCTAGTCTCATCTTTTGGTCCTTGACCCTCTGGCGATAGGCGTTTTTTATCTGCTCCGTGCATCCTGCAGTTCTAGACATGACTCGTTCTTTTTCTCTTATAAAGAATGGACAAAGATTATCAGCAGCTTTATGCGTCTTTGCAGCATTTTTCTCTGTGGCACTTTTACTATTAAAGCAGTTAGAACACTTTATCCGATCAGTCCTATTTTTTATCCTGTTTTCACAGTCTTTAGAAGTATGTGCTCCAGCACAGTAGAAACATGTGGGAGAGGCATCTTTTAGCTTGCAGTACTGTGACTTTGCCATATGGCCAAATTGCTGGCAGTGGTAACATTGTACTACATGGAGTCGGTCATATACACGATGTCTTTGTAGGCCCAGGTATATATAGTCACCACATTTTCTGATGACTTCTCTAGCCTCTATGGGCAGTTGAATGACAGCAAATTTTTCTTTGATATCATAGTAGACTACTTTGACATTAGCATCCTTCATACCTGTGTTCTTTTCCAATAGTTCATCAAGGATCTTTTCTTTGCTGTCAGAATCAAGGTGAATGTCGATATTGTTAGTTTGGGATCTAACTTCTTTGGTTCTACTGACTTTGAATTGACTTTAACTGACTTACACTTTTGTGTCAGCGCTCTTTCCGCTTCTTTCATGTCATCTTCAGTAGTAAAACTCAGCACTGTTGTACCATTACTTACCCGTTCATCTTTAACTCGGACACCTTTAAGAGAGTTCTTCACGTCCTTACGATAAACTTCGGTCCATTCATGGTTAGTGATAGTAGTCTCTGTATCATCCTCGTTCACTGGTGACTTGGCTATAGTAATCGTGTGCCTTGCTGGCAGGGGCTTCTCTATTGGAAGGTTAGCTTGCAGGGATTCCGCAGGGGAAATGGCAGCCACTGAAATAGCTTCTTTCAGAAGATTAGGTAGGACTTCACTCAATTGTCTCTTGATTATGTTTTCTAGAGTTTGGCTGTCCTGTTCCGGAAGGGGGACAAGTGAGGTCTTTGCTAGATCAATAGCTCTGGTTGCAATGATGTATAGTTCTTTACAAACCTTGAAAATATGTTCTTTGTTGTTGCTGGTGGGTATATCTGTTAAAATCTTTGCTTCGTGGATTGTTTTCTTACCTTGAAAGGACTTTTCGTTGATTAGGTCGAGCTCTTCTTCCAGTTTCTTCAAGTCATCCATATCTGCTAATGAAATCAAGGTCCTATACCCAAGATAAGCTGTAAGTTTTTAGAAAAACTTAAACAGCTACAGTAACGTAGATCTGGGTGTGTATGATAACAACTTAACAATAGAAACCTCAAATTATTTGTTATATAGTAGTGTTGAAAGTATTAAAACGATTGAAACTTATTTCAAGAACTGCGTATGTGTCTAGAAATCAATAAAAAATCAATTTGCATTTTAACAGTCTGTGGTAAAGTTCATTGATGAATGTCTGAATTTAGACGACACCTACTTGTTGGTCGAAGTAGTTGAATTGTGGACCATCATCATCTACCATTACAAGGACACACCTCCCTCCACACTTATATTTAGTGTTGTATAGTTGGTAACCTGTCCGCAAACCTTCACTGTATCCTAATCACGTGATGCATTAATAAATCAGTCATGTTGGACTCAATTTTAAAAGTAAGAAATTCCTTAAAGCGACCTACACAAATGTTTCTGTTTTTTTAACTCAAGGAGATGAACTTGAAGTCAAATTTGATTATTACGAGTACTCGTTACACGAACCTCTTATAGTGTTGACTTTGTTGTTGAAATGTGATGTGTCAACGTTAAGTTTATTTAACAAACTCCTGTGATAGTGATAAACCCCTTCGGTTAAAGGACCAAGACTGGATGCTATTAAGTTATATTCAACCTGAAAAAAGGTTCGTTTCATCTTTAAAAACAACCGTGATAAAAAATCTTCGCTATAAGTTAGGATTTCTACGAAGAAAAAATATTGCAGTGCAAATGTAGCGTATGATAATCGATTTTGTATATAGAGGATTCTATATATAGACCTAAACAAACGAATCCCTTTCCACAGATTCTGTCTGAAGAAATCGTAATTAGAAGCAGTCGGATTAATTGGAAACGCACCAACTTGAATTGTCCGTTAAGATAAGCTTCCTCTGATGTAGGATCTGGAGTTGCGTACATAAAGTCATGTCTGTTGAGGGATAGGATAATCTTGTCTTGGTGTGATTCTGGTAATTCTTTGTAAATTTCCAGCAATCCTGAGGGATGGAAATGGTTTTACTTGTTTGTAATTGAAAAGAGTTGACCGTATTGACGGTGTTGACGATGGGAGTATTTTATGCATAAAATATATACGCATCTATATTATTTTGTCGACCGAAAACGAAATGAAACTGCTGTACTTTTGGAAACAGAGTAAACAAAGAAAATTTACACAAAATAGTGCAAAATTGGATAAAATAGCTATTTCTGTTTCCTTTTTGCCAATTACTCAAAAAGTAAGCGTTTAAATATATAAGTTTTGTATATCATAATCATAATCGTTCATCAAAATCATTTTAAAAATAAAGAACCCCGATGGGCACTTCTGAAAACATAACTTCTAGAAAAAAAATCAAGATTAAAAATGAAGTAAACTGTGATAAATCACAACAAATGAAATCGATGGTATATCAATTTTGAAAGTTGCACAGTAAATTATAAGGAAAGTTTTATAAGGAAAGGTTTTTCACATCACACTTTTAATTAGTTTTTTACACTGTGTGAATAATTAAAATTATAAACACAGCTTTGTTTTGGTTAGATTAGAGTGAAATAAAAACTAAATTGTAGACATAAGATAAACTGACAAATAAATAATATATTGTATTCTTTAGATGTCCAGATTCCAGAAACTTACCAGTTAAATGTTCCCTACTAGCCCTAACACCCCTGTTCCATGCCCAATGAACGATGAACGAGGATGTGCACGAGGATACGATTTCCATAAATTCGTCGAATACCTTAGTGCAAGAAATATAGGCGGCAAGAAATTAAGGCGATTCTGACAAAATCGCCTTAATTTCTTGCCGCCTTAATATCTGACCACCGTAATTTCTAACCGCCTTAATTTTTTTTCTTGCGATTTTTTCATAAGAAATTTTCGTGTGATTTTATTATTTTAAATTTACATGTCGATTTCGTTATTTGCTAGAATTCAATGAAATACATATTTAAAATAAATTAACTTGAGTCTAAATACATTAATATATCAATTAATATTCTCGTCTTCTCCTTCTTCATCAGAGTCATATATCTCCAGCAGCTGCAATCCATAACCAAGATAGTCGTCGTCATCTTGCTCCGTCGTGTCTGGAAATAGCTTCTTGATAATATCAGCTGATTCATCCTCCAAACGTTTGTCGAAGCTGTACTTTTCGTCGACTAACTTCTTGAGGAGCGTTATTCCCTTCTCATTGGTCCATGAAGCAGTTACAGAGCACTTCACTTCTAAGCCGCCCTGTGTAAGAGGAGAACGTGCAGGTTTCTCCTCCAGGACTTTTACTTTGTAGGAGCAGCCATGACCAATCGAAAAGTAGACAATTCGTGATATTTCAATTGGCACATGTCCTACAGTTATCGGTACTAGCTTGTGCGGAAATTTCGCTTTCACTGCGACTGCAAAAGAATCGTAGGGATTATTATCTTCCTTCTCGAATGATAAAGTATCGTCTTTAGATGGTTTTGTCCAATCCTTTTGATAAAAGTGATACCCTCTCACCCCCATGACAAATGATGTCTCTGGTATGTCAATTGTCACTGTAGTAGTACACATTGTTATACCTTTATACAACAGCGAGGTGGGAGTGTGTGTGTAGAAGAGAGCGTGGAACTGGACCGAAATAGAAAGCTGAGTGACCTCTTGACTTGAAGTTACGATTTGATTAACTTTTTAAACTACCTCTTGTGGTCTTGTGGGATGTGGGTGCAAGTGAGCAATGCGCGTGAAATTTATCATACACACGGTAACTGATCGCATTCTTACATCTGAGCAAATCTATGAGCCGGCCGTGACAACTGCAGCCTGGCGCTCCTGCAGTCCTGACTCCTGCGAGTGACGTCACTTCACTCTGCCTCCTGCCAGTGCAGCAGTGCCGACCCACTTTCGCACAGTTTCAGTGTTTCATGATTACATTCGAGTGATGAATTGTGCCATTTGCTTGCATTTGCTTAAGTACTCAATTTGCTTAAGTACTCATTTGCTTAAGTACTCAATTTAGCTTAATTTATGCTTAATTAGGTACTATAATATTTGCCTTTCGTCTTTGAGCATTTACTCGATGCAAAACATACATTGTTTTAGGAATTTCCGCACAAGCTTATACCGATTGTCAATTATAGAGTGTAGACTTGTAGAGTTGTAGGTCATGCACAATCGAAATATTGCAAATTGTGTGGTCATGGCTGCTCATAATAAGTACATAGGTATTAAGTAGGGGGGGGGGGGGGGGCTACAACAAGCGGTGTTAGCTGGTACCGCTTAACTTGGCACTTTTTTTTTTCGTTAGCGATCCGCTAAACCGCTAGAAAATACCGCTAAACTGCTTAAAATAATGTTTTGTTTGGGAGATTTTTTGTTAGTGGTCCGCTAAACCGCTAAAATTGACCACTACACCGCTTGTTGCAGTCCCTCCAGTATTTTGGTGCCCTTTTCTGTTCGATATATTGCTTCGCATCATTAATTACAATTGTCCTTCTGCTGTCTAAATTATGGTGAAATATATAATAGTGGCTCCCTATCTCCCTGTTGTGTAATGTGTATCTACTTTCTGGACTATTACATGCGCTGTATGAGCTTTATAGTTTGTGATTGTGCCAATGGTCGTAGTTATAACAAGTTTGGGGAGTTACACGGATATCATAATTAGTCACACGGATATCATTAGGTAGAGTACCAACTGATAAATGATACCTAAGTCATCAAGACAAATTCACAATAAGAGAATAAGACTTGTGATTCCTTAATGCTCATCAACTGTGAACTTTTCGCCACTAGTTTTACTTTTAACATTTCACTTGAACAGGTATGTCGGTCAGGAATCTCTTAGGTTACTACATGCGGGATAAGGATGTGGGTGCCGAATCACTAACCGTCGCAAATATCCCAGTTCACAGTTTGCCAACTCCTAGCACGTCGGGCTTGAGTCAGAGCCAGCTGGATAGCGTAGCTGATTGTCTTAGCATTTCCAAAGCCAAAACCAAAAAACGTGCAACATACACACCGAAGGAGAAGGCGACCATCGCCCGCTATGCTACTTCTAACAGGATCGTGGATACAGTTACTCATTTCAAGCCCCAATTTGCTCATCTTACCGAAAATTCAGTGAGGAGGTGGAAACGAGAGTACAGCAAAATCTCGGGAGCAGATGGATCAGCTCCTGAAGCATTGCTTGTGGGGAAACGCGGGAGGCCTACATCGTTGCCGGCTGAATTGGATGCTGATTTGAGAAGACTCTTGGTAACCATGAGAGAGGCTGGAGGTGTGGTCAATTCGACAACAATACGTGGATGTCTCATGGGATTGGTGAACGCTAACCTAACAAAGTACGGCACTTTCTTGAAGTTCGAGGTAACACACTCCTGGCTGACATCATTGTACACCCGGATGAAGTTCTCTCAGAGAAAAGCTACGACGTCTAGGCCACCTGTTAGCAGCGGAGCATATGAAGAAACCAAGTAACGGTATCATTTCGCTCTTCAGAAGGTTGTTGACGAGTACGACATTCCCGAGGAGCTGATTATCACCCTGGACCAAACTCCAACAAAGTTTTTTAACCTGAGCAACTCCACCATGAGTAAGAGGGGAGAAAGCCGTACTGCTGTGGCTCACTGTGGCGACAAGAGAACAATCACAGCTACTCTCGCGGTCACACTGTCAGGAGACATCTTACCCTACCAACTAATTTACAAAGGAACAACTAAAAGGTGCTTACCTTCTGCAGATCTACTTCCCGCAGGTTTCCTTCTCTCTTACAACAAAACGCACTGGTCGAACACTGAAGAAACTTTGAATATCCTAAATAATGTTATCAAGCCTTACGTTGATCAGAAGAAGAAATCCCTCGGAAAACCTGACAGTCAGAAAGTGGTAGTTATTTGGGACGATTTTAGTGCTCATAATGCACCACGAGTTTTGAGTCTGCTTTCAATGCTTGGAATCTGTACCGTCGACATACCGAAAAATTTGACTCATCTCTTGTCACCACTAGATCTCACAGTGAATAAAAAGCTAAAAGATTTTGAGCGGGAGGCATGTGCATCCTACGTAAGTCGTAGTCTAGCAGATCACATCCAGCATAATCCTGAAGTAGGAGATTTCAAGTTGGATATCCGCTTGTCAGTGCTGAAACCTCTCCATGCCAAAACTTTGACAGCTTCCTACGAGTTCTTCAAAACTGTGGAAGGAAAGAAGTTGATCGCTTCTGGATGGCGTGCGTCTGGTCTCACTGAAGCGGTGAGGAGGTGCAAGGAGGACGGTATTGACTCAAGAATGCTGATTGATCCATTTGCAGCGCTCAGGATCTAACTTCATGTTTTTTATCTCGGCTTCTCGGACTATATTCTATTGAGATTTAAACTGCAGTACATGTGTTATTAATGTCAGTTCAAATTCGAATGTTCGTACAATTTTACATTTCATTTTTAAGCTTTAAATCGAGTTTTAATTTTAAAAAGAAATAATTTTTAATTTTAATGATGATATGTAGTATACATACATAAAAATTCCTTGCCGCGTACAGAATGTGCACTATCATTTTGTCAAATGCAATGAATATACCAATTGACTTGCAGTTTGCTGATGTAGTGGATGTCTACCTAATTTAAAATTATAAACTTAGACGACAGAACAGCAATCACTATAAATATAATGTGCATGCACCATTTAGTTTTTATGTGACCAATGTCCAATATATCGTATTTTTAAACAGATTTCTATGCTTTATAGACTGATAAAAGAATAAAATTGACACTATTTCGACCAAAACTATAACCAAATTTGCGATCAAAAATCGTATTTTTTCCGAAAAAAATATCGCCTTAATTTCTTGCCGCCTTAATTTCTAGCGCCTTATATTCTTGCCGCCTATATTTCTTGCACTAAGGTATTGCCTCCAAATCCTCGCGCAAATACCCATCCTCGCGAGGGTAAATCATCATCGTGCACAATTTCCCACGAGGATGATTTCCTCGCGATGAAATTTTTGGACATTTCCATCCTCTCGAGGGTATCGGGAGGGTTTTCTCCTCATCGCACGATGATGAAATTCGAATAAATCACTGATCTTTCCAAAAAGGTATGACAAATTTGGTATTGTGAAAATTCTCACAGTCTCTAGAAAACAGTGACCAGTAGAACAGTACAAAAATTTTTTAAATCCAAGCAAGTTTATTTTTATCGTGCACCCCCTAGTATCATCGCGAGGATCCCACGAGGATCGCACGAGGATCACCGCGAGGATACCTATATGAAATTTCGACGAAATTATGGAAATCATATCCTCGTGTGCATCCTCGTTCATCGTTCATTGGGCATGGAACAGGGGTGTAAGGCAGGGGTGTGCGCCGCCGCCGCCGAGTTTTTAGCCCACGCCGCTGCGCCGAACAATTTATCGGCGGCGCAAACGGCGTGAACGTGGTATTTTTAAAATTTGAATTTTCAAAAAATTACTCAAAAAAATTTAACGAAATTAAATTTGTGCTGATGATCGAGGCATAATTGCTGAATATAATTATAAAATCCCTCTAGCATGTCTGACGTCAAGTAGTTCGATGTAGCATATGCAATGTTTCATGAAATTGTGAATTCCTGTCATACGATCAACGATGAATTGAAGTGAAATTTGCAACTGTCTAAACCTTATTAATACTAAGTCAATCCTTTACCTAAGCAATGAATTTCCATTTTGTCGAGTCACAACTGAAACTGCCAATTGTCCACAGGCCACGCCGCCGATGCTAATTTTGGCCACGCCGCCGCCGATTTTAGTAGAACACGGCGGCGCACACCACTGGTGTAGTAAGGATGTTATTACGGTAAATTTTGATTTGATCATTTGATTTTTGGGAAAACAATAAAAAATTTGTAGACCATCTACCAATGTTGAATTTTGTACGTGTGGTTCAGATAGAAATCTAGAGATGAATCAGGATTCAGGTGGACCTTAAAGTAGAGCTTCTTCTGTAAAGGGTGCGCGTCAATGCGTGATGACCATCCTTCTTTAATAATCTTGTCTATTATAAAATCTTTGTTCTTGTCAGATCTTCTTTCATATAAGACGTTGTATTCTCGTGATTCGTTGTAAACTAGCAAGCGCCCTGGCTCAAACATTTTCAACATTACGCCAGATGCGTCCAACATTATTTGGACTTTCACTATCATATCCATTCCCATGCCCATATACTTTTCTGAGACATTTTCCTCGGAAACTGTGACTGAGCCTCATAGGTAATTTTCTTTCCTGACTATTGTTATGCTGTTCATGCCTATTTCTTCGGGTTCATCTACACGTGTATCGTCCGGATAAAGCTTGACAACGCTGCAGTCTTTAATATGGTTTTCCCAATCTGTTTTCTGACAAACACTACCGCAATATCTCACTGATTGACAAGCTCCACATTTAAACAACTTTGTTCCAGTTTTTTCACAAAAGCCACAAGCTCTACCGGAACTTTCTCCCGCCTCCTTTTTTACAGATCTCTCCTTACCATTGCTGCACTGTGCAGTGCACACGGATTTGTGCATTTTCCAGTCCTTCTTCTGGCATTTAACGTTGCAATACCAAACTGACTTACATCCTGCACATTTTTGTAGATCCGATCCTTTTTGTCCACAGGAGCTGCACACTTTCTCAGCGTCCATAATCTACAGATTCTTGCTGCTCAAAAACATTTCACCTGTTATTTGTTTTAATAAGGAAGAATCCTCAGTTAAATAAGTTTTGAGAAATATATTCTACTACCATCTGCATCGCATCAAATTGACATAATATTGCAATCCTACAATAAGTAACAGTCCGCGGACTTTAAAACACGTTGCGAGGTGATCAAAAATAGTGTCGCGTACCAACGTCTTTTCAAATAATATGGTTGTCAGGCAATAGACTCAGATCAAACTCGAACAAATGAGAAGTGAGTACACATTGTGTATTTACTTGAACTCTAAGGTATAATATTTCTAGAGCAGCTTCGTTTGGCTGACAGAGAAGCTGTCATTCTTGCACAATGGCTGATTTGATTATGATAAAAAACCAAGCTCGTGACAGAATACCTAATTCTAAAATATTACTACGAGTCTGACGAGAGTATTAATATCTGCAGTACAGCGCCGCTTGGTTTGCAAAGAACGGCATTAATTTATGTAGAATAGCAGGATGGCTAATGGCTATGACTTGAGCTAATATAATGTGCAATAAATCCTCAAATATAAGGGTTGACCCCTTTCTCTCAGTTACTGTCTAAAGCTGAAAGTAAGCACAAGTGGGAGTGGAATTAAATGTTGCGTTAAAATTTAGTTTTACAGCTCAATATTTAGTTTTACACGTGCCGTAAATGTACAGATGTTTGCAGCAACAGATACAAACAAATTCAGATATAGATGAATGTTCAGACTTCCGCTCGACTACCTCGGTAAGAAATTATAAATACTATTCCGCTAAATATTTAAGTTTGCGAAATGTGAAATTGTACCAAATTCACCACTTGTTGAATGAGATTAATAATAATGGGTTAGCACTATAAGTTTGTTAAACTATAGTGCATTTAAAGATCACAATTTTACCTTTGGCAAGCGGGTCATGCGTGGCGATGTGGGAAAGATGCTCTATTATAACATCTGTGTCTTTGGAGAGATTGTCTAGAACAACGTTTAGATCAGGTTGTATCCTTTCAACAGCTTCATAATCATTCAGGTTCACTGGGGTTGGGGCGGCGGTAACTGTCGTACAAAATGTATTGCCCTGAGGTGAGTTTAGTTGTGCGTTGTTACAACCCTTATCTTGGTATGGAGTATTTTCAATGTTAAAAACTGCCAATGAATCACTCCATTATTAATCATAATGGGGGTGATCGCTAGAAAAAAGGACATGTAGAAATAAGTGTTCCTGTTGTAAACTAACATTTGAGTCCAGATGTTGCAGTGCTCGTGATTTCAATTGTAGTTCAATGTCACGTACACTCTCCTGGTTCTGACTTGATAGGATCTTTCTGATAATCTCTAGATTTGATGACATCACCTGAGACTTTAGTAGTGAAGGACGATATTTATCATGATGTTTATATGATTACCTCATTACCAGTATTTCAATAAAGCAACGCATAAATTTTTTGTTAATTTCATTGTTGGTCTGACATTAAAAACAACATCTGTGGTTGAACGACAGGAAGGAAGTATGGAAGTTAATCTTACAAAATATCAATGCAGCACAGTATCTGTCTTTTGGACTAGCTATATAATAAGTTTTACCTTATCAGCATTTTAATCGTGTCATAAATTAACCTGAAGAAATTAACCTAAAGTATGGAAGATAATCAACGTTAAGAACGAAAAATTTAGTCTACCATAAATTTAGTCAAACTTTTGACTAAAATTGTTGTAAACTAAATTTCATGAGACTAAATTTTTCGGCGACTAATTTTAAAGGATACAAGAATTTCAGTAGAGCATATATGATATGAATATTATTGAGCTTACATTGTTTATAATTAATATAATGACATCACCGTTTTTTAGTTGAAAACTAAGAAAGCCTGTTGTGAAACTACGAAGCACAAAACTGTACAAAAGTACTTTAAAGGTTAGAGCTCCTCTTCGACAAAACATGTTTAATCGATCCATCCCAACAAGCTCGAAATCTTTGTAGACTATAAATTTGTGAATTATGACAGCATTTTAATCATGTCATACTCTAATTAACCTAAACCCGAATGTTCTTTAGGTGTGGCAAAGCTATAACATAGTATGATGAATAAATATCAAATAAATAAATAAATATCAAATAACACAATTAGAAAAGATAAGTCCTACAATCGTCGCAGTCGCCTCTTCTTCTCAGCAGTTGAAAGTGGTGTCATACATTTAGGAACTTCCACAACCACAGTACTCGATAATGGTGATGTAAGGGAACAGCTGTTTCTGCGTCTGATAGCGTTTCGTTCTCCCGCAGAGAGTCGAGTAGGAACAGGGGTTCTAAAGCAGTATTTTGGGGAAGGAGACTCGCTGTTCGAGGAGGAGTTAACTTCACGTAGGGGTCCAACAGATATACGATCAGGTGAAGGGGTTGAGCTGAGGTTCTCCTGGTCCTCCCGTCTGCCTCTCAGATAAGATGATATCTGGTTAGATATGAGGGTGGTCCGTAGTGAGCGGAGAGAAGAAGAGGAGTTGGTAAAGTTGATAAGATCAACAGTAGACAGGTAAGTAAGAAGCATTGTTATCAGCTCTACAGGTAAAGATAACAAATTGGAACTGTAGTTAACTTCAGAAGATCCAAATCTGTTGAGTCTTTTTGAAGAGTAGATCCTCAGGTTAGGTGAAATTCTAGTCATGGCAGTGAATTAAGCAGTTGATCGAATAAACAAGATTGTAAGAAATGTGATAACATGTTAATTGATATTAGCTATTTATATGTAAGCTGTTCTGATTAACAAGCACAAGGGTGTCAGGATGGACGGATCGTGTATCAGTTAATACAGGCGTTATGGGGTGGCAGATCACGTGACCACCTCGGCTAATCGATCTTGACACCATCTGATCGCAGGAACGACTTGCCCAACTTGCTTGTAGATCGCATGTTCAATAGCTCGTCATGTGATCAATAGGCTAGCTCGTCAACAAACTCATTGATTGACTGACCGGTCAAAAGGACGATGTTTTCTTATATAGCAGATACATCTATTCATTGATTGAATATGAGTGCACTAGAATAACCAATTGCCAAATACATAAAATTAGTAAAATATAAAAATGAATAAATAGCATTAACTAGTTTCAAATAGGAAACGAAGAGGAAGACGTCAGAATAACAATACTATATTAAGAAACGTGTGTTTTTAAATTTGGAGTGTAGAGATGTCAGTGAGGATCTGTCAACCACGTTCAACGTTGAATAACGATACTGCTATTAAATTGAGGAAGCATAAAATGAAAATTAATTCCGCTTGTTAAACTAATAAGAAACCTAAATAAGTGCTGATCACTTAGCAAACTCACTAACTAGCTTCACCTTGTGACGAAATCTTTAATTTTGAAAAGTTCCTCGACGTTTCTAGAATAAACGTAAGATATTAATATGTTGAGTCAATTACTGTATTAATTATGAAAATGTTTTTACTATCATGAATGGTGCGTTTGAAATAAGCGGCATCGCTTTCAATATGACGTCTTGAACGAGTGGTATCCCTTTGAATTCGGCAATAAATTCAGAAACATTACGGTTTTAAATGTCCCAAGCAGTTACAGGTCGTAACTATTATAATGTTTGAAATGTAATCGATATAAATTGTGTAGACGATTAGCAATTACAGCATGTCAACACTAGGTAATTAGTTAATGTGACACATTTCCTCATAAAACGATGGGCAGATAGTAGATACATGGTAAAGTAACAAGTTTGAGATTGTCAGCGACTGCTTGCTAGGACATACATAATCCCATGGTTTACATGATGTTATTTATATCAAGTATTGAATACGCAATAGCAAGTCAGTTACAAGTAAATGTTCAACGATAAAAATATTATTGGGAGTAAAATATAATTATCTGTATATATATTGTACGATATCGATTCTACGAAACATGTATTCGGTGTAAAGATGAACCTAATAACATGACGATTCATGAACTTCCACGGAAGGAACTAGTTTATCTATTACAACGATCACATACCTCTTTTTGGATTACAGGAATGTAGAAGAATCAGTTCCTAGAATTGAAACTGCCAATTTCAGGTCGCTCAATCAGAGATCATGCATTGCATTATCGCTCTTCGTGTCTTTGGGCTGACTTTATCCGACACCTAATAAGCTTACTCACATTAATTGTTATTATTCGTGTCATTCAAAATTATCGTGATCTCACAGAAATCACATCACTATTTCACTATAGTCTAAAATGATTCATAATGACTTGCCGTGAAGGGTGGCAGACAACTGAACCCAATTGAACCTAGTTCCCTCGCAGTTAACAGGCACCCAATCAGCTTAATTGGGTGACCAATCAGCTTAAATACCAAAACGACAACTGAACCCAGGTCATATCACAACTGCACCCAAATTGAAAATACGACAACTGAACCCAAGGAAATACGACAACTTTTTTAAAAATCTAGACACTTATTTTACTTCGGAGTATTCCAACAGCCATATTGTTACACAAGTGCAACCAGCCAATTACAGGAAACCGAAGGATTTGTTTTTAGCCAGTGACGGTTAAGGTAGTGTGTACCATACTTTCTTCGCCCGAGACTTTGCTGCAATGTGCAGCTCCTCATTTTAACCCTCTGGCATTCTGACAACGTGTCCGTCTAGCTTTGACAGTTAGCATTGTAGATACGGATCTTGATGGGCGTTCTTATAGTTCCACTGTTTCATGTCTTCCAAAGCTGATGGAACGCACCATTAGCACGGTGGATACTTGGCTCAGGTTACTTGACTCAGATCTCGTGACTCCTGATGCTTAGGGAGGGCCTGTCATGGTTCAGATCTCGTGGATCGGATCCTTTTCGGCACGCTTCGTGAACACGTAAGCTTGTAAGATCAGATCTCGCGATCGAAAGGCACCTGAGACCTTGTCATCTATTAGTACGCTTGTTATACAGATCGGATCATTACATAAGGAAGAGAGATGGTGGTCTGTGAACACAGTATCGGATCATGGTTGTCTTCAGCAAGTACATCAGCTGACAAAGAAGAGCTCAACTACTTCTGGACACAGACGGTTTCCTCTACACCCGGAGAAAGGATCGAGATACCCCTACTACCTCTACTTAGAGATGCCAGAATTACAGAATCAAGAAATGTCCTGCTCATGTATTCCTTGACCATGGAGATCAGTCCTTGGCCAGCGGTGCCAAACCTCATTCCCACGACCCTGACAACTTAGTAGCTGAGAAAGCAGAGTTCAGAGCAGAATTAAAGCGGAAAGCTGCCGACCAACACCTCTCTTGCAACACAAAACCTCCTCACCGAAGCCTAATCTACATACCCATCCGAAATCAACGTGGTACTACCTAAAATAGAATCCCTCGCCAGAATTGTCCAACGATCACGAGCAGATAAGTCCGGATCTGCCAGCCACTCCGAAGCACCAACCTCAACAGACCGAAATTTAAATAGCACTAGAAACCAGGCAGCAGCTAAACTAGAACGGTATTTGGAAACCTGTTAAACTGTTAGTGATTTCTAGTGACTATTGGGTTCAGTTGTCGTTTCAAAGTTAATTAGGTAGTCTGATTGGGTTTATAATTATTTTCCCAAGCTACCCTGTCTAGGAAAAGTCCAAATTGGGTTCAGTTGTCCGGTAGCCGCCGTGAATAATACAATTTATTAATTATACAAAACGTATTTTTAAATTATTGACTTGATGCTGGAGAACTGAGAAGTGCCGTTCATACGCCTTGTCGATTGTCACCAAATTTTCAGGTTAGAACCTACTGTGGTATCACGGATTCAGGTAGGGCCAAAGAGGAGTGAATTGAAACTCACTGGGGAATATTAGACTGCTGGTTATAGAGGAGGGTTGTAGATCATTGAAACTGGAAATTCCCAAGTGGTTAACGAACATTTAAAGAGTTAAGAGCCCAAAAAACATAGTCACTTATCATTTCGGTTTAGAGGTCTTATAATTTAGAAAAATATAATGCAAGCTGGCAGTGTCGTTAATAGGTATGTAATGCATGTTGTGACTAAATGAAGGCAGAAATATTTTTGATTACGTCTACAACTTCAGAATGTCGATATTTGAAGATGTTGCGCGCGTCCGGAACGCGCAGCATCAATTCGACAAAGGACACTTTCTATACTGCAGATCGATGAAAACTAGTAATACGGATCGCAAACGTTTGCTACGTTTCATTCTCGCTTTTCTGACCAAGATCTATATTGTACGTGTACAACCCAATTATAGACAAAGCATCGACAGCTACGTTTCGAAAATAAACAAAATCATTCATATCAAATCAAGATTCACAAATTTCACAAATTAAGAATAGAGAAAATTTAGTCACAAAGTCTGTTCAGTAAACATAGCCTTATGAGGTGACAAAACATCGATATCAACATTTACAGCATCATCTGATTCAAGCGTGTTTTATCACGGTAATTAGTAAGATTCAAGGGAAATTAGTTATCACTGGTAAAACCGATCCGACAATAGACTCGGCGACTAAATACCTACAGAAAAATGTAAAAACGTAAACGAGCCCTCATCGTACAAGACAGTTAAATATTCTACTTTTATTGTGCAGATATTTTCATGCTTTGCGATTTTTATGCAACTCTATGCATCTCACTACTAGATTTTAATATATAAGGCGAGAATTTGGATAACAATTTTCGATCAAGCTTGAAAATAATTATTAAGAAATCAGTACCCAACATATCTGAAACAATCACAACATCGTAAAACTAATCTCAAAACTGAAAACGTAAACACGGAATGGTTTTAAGGGCTCAAGATAAACTTTCCCATTGCGATATTCTGTGTAAAACTTTAGCAGATATATCCTTATTTCCACAGATTATCCACAGATTTATTTGGTCAATTGTAAATATTTATCCGTCCAATTATAATAGACTTATACACATGATGATGAAACTCGAGTTCATTAAACAAGCGCGCTAATGGTAGCAAACAGGACACAATTACACTTTAACTGGGTAAATTACACCTATATTATTCTCAACCTAAAGATTAAAATCTAATCACCGATATCACTTAGCGACGAAAACCTTTGGTTTAACATATATTGATTTAGTTAGTTTGTTAGTAAGTGCAGAGGTTTCAATATCAGGATGCCGCAACAGCTTTATAACCGGTTGAGGCATTGATAAAAGTCCAGATTTCAGGGGCACAAGTTGATACTGTAAATAAACCTTGTCATTGGGTAGTATCTTACATCTCAAATGCTTGTGTCCAGCAAACATAAACAAATCCCCAGGCTCAGCCACAATGTCAATCTCCTGCACATAGTTACTGATATTAACAACACACAGCCTGATTGAGATGGGATCGAACAGAGTTCCAAAAGAGGGCAGTGTATTAGTTAGAAATACAGGTAAACTGTTCACGGAGACGATGGGAAGTGGCCAGCTTGTTGTTGTGAAGGTTTGAACTGAGTCGTTCCGCCGCCATGTTACACTAACCGACCCTATATTCGTGTTTTTGCTGGGAGACTTAGGCTGTATTGTAATACAGTCCGTCAGGACATTGTGTTTTGTCAACGAAAACTGCTTTTCGTTTGGTGCTTCGTCGAAAATAAATTCTGGGTTTATATCATATTTGATGTCCTTGATTTCGATACAGCTATCATGAGAAGCGCTGAGCTCGTTAAAGATAAGACACCGATCACAGGTTAGTAGAGTCTCCATTGGGTCACACCTGGATGACATCAGAGAAATAGAACTGTGAAATGGGGCAACACTTGAAAGTACTAGATCATTCCTTGACTCGCACAAATACGTCTTGTTGTTGAGAGCTATAGAGTATGATAACACGTACGACAGGTCGAATTTAGCTTCACTGTTACAGCGAATAATAAAGGAAGTGTCAGAAGATTCTTGAGGATCTAGGCAGTCTAGACGAAAATCGAGCTTATTCTCAAAAGAGTTGTTGTTAGGCTTGCAAATCTCAGCCGCATAAGTAGCAGACTTTACTTGAACACAAAACATAACATTGGAGATCCTGCAATCTTCATTATTTGACAAGTTAACTGTAAGCTGTTGAAATTCTCCCACCAGAACGGGAGATTTAAAGGCAAGTGAGGTGGTAGCACGTGCCACACGTGGCACTATCTTGCACTTAGCAACTGGGAATACATCCCCAAACTGCAACACTATCGAGTTTTCTCCCGCAATGTAAAGTTTTATAGAGAATATTTTCAACACGCAGGCAGCATCGTTACTGAAGGGCTCCATCTCAAAAGAAAGAGTAACGGGAGCATCAGCTGACAACTCGATCACCTCCTCTCGGATTGCTAACTCATCGTACTTCTTATTGTCAAAACACACAACCACTTTGCTGAAACTCATCGGCAGCACGGCAGTACTGATAAACTGAACCTTAAAATGGATCATCTCGTCAACTTGGAAGCTGTTAGTGGCGAAGGAGGCTGAGCAGGAGAGGAAGGAGGAGAGTTTGGTCATTTCCACCACATACTCCTGTCTTCCTGCTAGCGTCTTGCTCCAAAGTTGTCGAGTACTCTCATCTCCCTCCCTCATGTCCGGTACTTTACCCTCTAATATACCCAGCAGATTATTCTGCAGGTCAGCCTTGTCGTCAACATGTTTCAACATGTTGATACCTATCAACTCACAGCAGATAGCGACGTAATCCAGCACATTTCCCACTAAGTAAGCACACTTTAAACACAAATCCAGGACTGAAGTAAGCAGACTCCACCACCTTTCTCTCCGATACTCGCCCAGAACGCACATTGCAATCGAGAAAGCCTTCTCGTAATCTCCTGCTAGGTAATACTCATTTCCCATCTCCAACATGAGATGGCGCTTCATTCTTGTTGGTTTGTACTGTTTGAACTGTCCCACGGCTTTGTTGAGAAGCGGGATGATTATTCGGGAATAGTCAATGTCGAGTTCCAGTTGCTGGATGGTAAAGAGACAATCGTCAGCATCTAGATTACCATTGGTCATGGCACCATTGTAATGTTCCAACTCCCAAGGAAACTGCCCAAAGTATTTGGTAACTGGGAGTTGAATAACCTGTTTACCCTCGGCTACAAGAGCTGCTACCTCACTCTTGAAGAGGTCGGATAATTGTCGCCGTTGTATGGTGTACTGAGCAGCTTGAAGGTAGTAGAACCCCGGGTGTTTGGTCTGCAGAGCAGTCAGACCAGCAGAGATGGCATCGTTGAAGAGATCTCCAAAGAACTGAAACTGATGACTCAGCCACTGTCTGTGTTGAAACTGAAGCTCGGGGGGCTCGGTGTGCTCTTTGAACTGTTTGATGTGCCGATCAAACTGTGCTATAGCATCCAGCGGGGCACCTGTTCTAAAACTCAGCTGGCATATCTTAAAGTTGATAAAACCACAGAGAATCTTTATTTGGTGCTTGTTAGAAACCTTGGTCTCAAGAAGTTGAGAATAAGTCATGTTGTAGTGCTTGAGAGCGGTTGGTATATCTTTCCTTATCTCGTGAAAGAAGCTCACTTTGATGAGATGACGAGCTTGAAGCAGCTGATAGTTAGGACGGTTTAACGTATCTTTGTTGTTCTTTATTCTCTTAGTTTCGTTAAGGTAGTACATGACTGCCTGGTCAATAAACACGTTCTGTAGCCGTATCACATAACCAACGAGATGATCAGCATGAAGTACGGGCAGAACAAAAAGAGAATTACTCATCAGCTCGCAAGCATTACACAGACTAGTCGCACGTTCCACCGCAAGGGCATCCTCACCAGCGGGCAGCGAATTCTTCTGGATAAGCACAACAGCTAACTTAGTAGCTCTGTTACCCAGACCTGATCTCAGATAGTTGAGCTGGAGTCCACAGTCCAGCTGCTTCTCTGCCCAGTGCGAGTCGTTCCAGTCCAGCTCGTAAAACAGGATCACAGCAGCAGGAATGAGGTTGAGATGTTTGTTAAACCATCCTCTCTGTAGAATACCTGCTGGTGGTGGCTTGTTGGTCCCCTCGTTCCGTTTGGGGAACATGTTGTAGTCCTTTACAAGCATGTACCGGCCAGGACCGTTGTCCGAGTGCATGTTGGTGGAGAAAGCATCCCATATTGAGGAATGTAGAGGATTCTTGAGGTTCAGTCCAGCTAGACCAATATTAGGGTACAGAGGACTGAGGAGCTCATCAGGCAACCCTACGTCAACTTTCATATCTCATCTCACTGCAAATATTGGTTATCGTTAGACCTATCAACTATTTCTTTGGCATGACCACTAGTGGGCCTGTGGGATTTAAATGTATTTTGTTTTGGCACATGGTATGGATATGATTAACAGCAGCAAACATTGACACGTGCCAAAACAAAATTATATCTCATCCCCACCATTAGTCGAGTATGCGAGCAATTATATCACAAATTATATCAGATCATTGAATTTCTTAATTGTGTATCTAGATCACGTCTCTCTGTAATTTTAAGAGTTAATTTGCTCAATTTTAACTCATTAGTAAAATCTACATGAGTTTGTATCACAATAGAAATTAAAAAGCGAAATTAGGGTCGATCTCACATTTTAATCTACATTTATATTCAAGACTTTATTCTTATACAATTAAATAAATCAAAACGTAATTAAATGGAACCTATTCAGGGCTTTTAAAAATCAGATGCTGACGCATTCCGGTGCAGTGGCCCCAATAATTTAAAGATAACAAAAAGGAATAAGGTTCAGTTGTTACATGTTCATAATGGTGTTATTGAAATTCAATATCGTTTGCCTAAACATATTTTTCCTCTTAACACAGCTAGCCAAATCATATTGATAAGGCTTTTGAGTACATTCTCAAGCGATTTTCATGAAGAAAAGTATAATGTGACAAAGCAATGCCTTACAAAGCCTTGCCTTTACCTCGGCTGCGAAAGCTTGACACGAAGAGCTCGAAATAGCGATAAATAACAAATTCGATATTTACAGGCTGTAACGTAATCATCTACAGCTTCATGAATAGTGCACTACCTGTGGCCAAACTGGCCATTCTTAAGAAATTGAAATGAATGAACTATGTTTCGAACTTTAAAATATTGATGATCTAAAACAACCTGAAAACTCTTTGTATCAATGATCAGAAGTTTACAGCACATGCACAAATAACGGCAGCAAAATATTAATACTGGTTAATGTTTAGTGTCTGTTCAAAATTAGCAAGAATTTTTACAAGGCAAAACACTATTAATAATATAAAATTTCCCATCATTTACCCTTTCAATCTGAATTCGATTCAATCAAAAAGTGATCAGGAAAATTAAGCTCAGCTGTTAGCAAAACACATTCTTCGTCAAATATCTTATTTCAAATTATATTATTACTTCAATCGAATAAATTTGAATTTCCACAACTTACACACGATTCTTTTTAAACATGATATACTTGTCAGAATATTCTACTCTCATGCATTCCGTATCATAGCAAATAACTAACATTACTTCGACTTAAAAAATTATTTTCTAACATCCCAAAAACAGGTTTAGTGTTATAATCTGAAATTTCGCTCTGGCTTTCAATCTGATTTGCCAAACCAAGATCTCCATTTAACAATATAGTAAATCAAAAGGAAAACTCCAAATGAAAACAACACTAGGTAAAGTGTAAAGCGTTTGTTACTTTTAGCTGCCATTACTTGCAGCCTCTTCATTGTGCTACCCAGAATACCTTCTCCAAAATCGAAGTCGTTGTCCATCCCATTGAGATACTTGTTTTGCTCCTTAACCTCATTGCCAATGTCGATTGTAAGTGATTTTAGCGCATGTACTTTTCCCTGTAAGTTGCTCAGTAGCTGATCGTTTTCTTCTTCGATAATTTCTGAGTTTCTGATATCGTTCATATCATTGTAGCTTCCACCTGGAGTGCGCCTCATACCTCTATTGAAAGTCATCTGTTAATGCCTAAAAAGTAGATCAGTTTTTTTTTCAGACAAAAACACTTATTTACTTCTTAAATCAAAATTATACTCTAAATTATAAGTATGTTCTAAAGTGATTTGATGTATGAATATAAATTTGTTGTCATGAGCTCAAAATAAAGAGTATAGAACTAATTTCACATAGCTGTAGATCTTGTACATTTTATACTCGACCTTTTCGAAGCACAAACAATTAGAAACAAACACAATTTGTAAATCAGGACTTTGTCACCACATGTTCTAAAGTCAAAATATCTCTAGTTTTACATAATCATGTACATAATGTGCAATGTAATTATATACAATGTGTTAACTCATTTGCAATTTGTAATTGTATCACAACACTATTATATCGAAATGAAAGCCAAATAAATGACATAAATAGAGTAAAAAATAGAGGGATTCACAATGAAATGTTGTCTAAAACAATAATATCAATTATGTTGCAGATTGAATGATATTTTTCTTCTGAAGCACTCTTATCTCTTCATCTGAATATCCCAAATCTTGTAATATGCTTATAGTATGTTGACCTAAAACCGGCGGTGCAGTATAATTATTGGGATCCTTGCCATTAAATTTTACAGGATGGCCAACAACCTTTATGTCTACATCATCAACTTCGTTATGAACAGTTTTAACTATGTCTGAGTGAATGGCTTGAGGGTGTTCAAAAGCTTCCTGGATGTTGTTGATGGGGGCTGCAGTGAAAGAAAATGAGCTTGCAATATCAACCCAATATTCAGTTGTTTCTTCTGCAAATCTTTCAGTCAGGTGCTTCAATAGTTCCTCGCTATTCTCAACCCTCAGTTCATTAGTTGAAAACATTGGATTGCTAGGCAACCAGGGCCACCCAACTGCTTCAGACAAGTCATAAAATTGAGAATCATTGTTTGCTGCTATGACTACATAAGCATCAGATGTTTTGAAAGCCTGATAAGGAACAATACTCAGGTGGGATGAACCCAGTGGTTTTGCAATAATACCAGAGTTAAGGTAGTTAGAAGCAACATTCACTAGCATGCTGAGTTGTGTTGAAAACATTGAAACATCGATTTGCTGTCCCAAGCCTGTTTTAGTACGGTGATAAAGAGCAGCTACAATTGAAGAGTAGAGATAAAGACCTGAGCATATATCAGTTAAAGCCACCCCTACTTTTACAGGTTCACCATCAACTGGACCTGTAATTCCCATCAAACCACCCTCTGCTGATAAAGGGACATCGTATGCTCCTTGTTTAGAATATGGGCCATCCTGTCCATAACCAGAAAGTGAGGCAAAGATCAACTCTTCATTTGATGATTTGATATTTTCATAGTCCAACTTATATTTTTTAAGGGTTCCGGGTTTAAGATTTTCGACAAAAACATCAGATTGAGCCATCAATTTCTTGATGATAACTTGCCCATCATGGGTTGTATAATCAACAACGATACTTCTTTTGTTTCTGTTGCAGCATGCGAAATAATTACTCAAAGTAGGTGACAAGAATGGAGGTCCCCATTTTCTAGTTTCATCTCCAATACCGGGGCGTTCAACTTTGATAACATCTGCTCCAAGATCTGACAAATTCATAGTGGCATAAGGTGCTGCTAACACTCGAGTCATGTCAACAACTTTAACTCCTTCCAATGGTAATGATGACAGTGTCTTTGACTGTATATGTAAAGTATTGGAGGTGACTGACCTCAACATTGGTTGAAGTAAACTTGGCCTCATTACTTTCATGTTGCCTGACTTTAATGAGTTATTACAGATGTGTGGATTAGTGAACCAAGGTAGTATACACATATGAGCAACACGTGAAAGCTGTCTCAATTGAAATACCTTATGCACAAATTTCATAATTCCACAGCTTCATGTAATAGTTGACCAAAACTTGCTGCTGTACATTGTACACGACCAATTGTAAAATAATAAATAAGTAATAAATTAGAAACGGATGAGTAATAAAGAATAGAGAACAGAGTCTCGCTCAACACTAAAGTAAACATTTAAATGAAAGATAAATAAACGGTGGCGTGGTACAACGGAAGAAGAATTAGGAAGTCCAAAAGACAGTTAATCATGCCACCCAATGTACATTGAACATGCAACCTAAATGAGTGGGTGGGAAGGAAGCAAGTGAATTTATTCAAGTAGTATTTCTCACATCTTAATGTCTGCAAAGTATATAAGCAGTTTGTCAACAGACTAGCCGACCTCATAGCTAGAAAGAGGAAGGAGAGATATTGTGATGTAGTAAGATATGTGAGAACGAGGATAAGATTTGCAATGTTGAGAACAACTTTTATTGCTTAACGTGGGTACAGAGGAAAGAAGATAGACAACAAACACGAGACCCCTCAATATCAGAAGTCTCATACAACCTCATCCCTGTCCCTAATGCCTTACCAATTGCATCAATTGACTTAATTGAATGAATAATTCAATAATGTGGAAATCGTAAGATAGCGAATTAAAGGTCATTCAAACAATATATACATTTAATTTTTTAAAGAAAAAAGGGGGGACCCCCAACCCATCTAGCTGAGACACCTCACAGCAAGTATACCAAAGTGGCTCTTGCTTGTTAAAGGTGTATCAACATGCAATTAAATCAAGTGATGCAATTAGCAGAGCACAATCAATTCAAGTGTTGCAATTAGCAGAACACAATACATAGGAACCGGAAATACCAATATTTATGAACTTTAAACAGTCAAATACGTACACACAATTTTCAAAACACCTCGTCTACTCCATCGTCGGGGCATGGATGAGGTTGTACGAGACTGCTGATAGAGGGGTCTCATGTTCGATGTCAATATTCTTTCCTCTGTACCCACGAATAGATCAGGTAGTTTAATGAAATCTGAGAAAATGTCTATTCCAAATTATATTAAGCTCAAGCGTAAAGTTTTCTGTAATAAAATTGTATGACTTTACTGCGAAGAGAGAAGCTAAAACAAGTACCTGACTGACAAGTCATATCAGGTATTTGTATATGGTATTCGTTGTGATACAGTTCCATTCAGGCATCTTTTCATGGAGACATAGCATACAGCATACAGCATACACTAGTTATTTGAAATTGTTTGAGCAGTTAAAAAAAGCTTATTACATATAATGCGAGACAATATATGTTTATCCGTACCATTTTACTGCCACCACGGCATCAAATTTAACGCAACTTTCCGCAAAAACCGTAAAAGATATACAACTGAACCTTTCTCCGGTAAACTGCTTTAATGGCCTCCAAATCAGTATGAAAAATTTAAAAATTGGTCAAGGAATAGGAAAGTTAGAGCCCAAAATTTGGATCCCAAGTGGTGTCAAAAACGCGAATTAAATATGTAATAATTATTTTTTGAGTCTTGAGTCTTGACACCATTTTAGGGTTATACGGGTTCCTGCAAATAATATTGGCGCTACAACTTCATTGACGATGTCAATTCATCGCAGCTCGGCGAGGCCCAGTAGCGCATTTCGCCGATCTAGGGAGAAGTAACGCATCGCGCTACAACACTACAACATAATATTTAAGTTTTTAAATGATGCGCACCACTGCAAGGGCTCTGGATAGAGCAATCCATACGAATAATTATTAACCATTAACAATTATTATCAGATTTTTACTTATATTTATTATTATGATATTATGTTCATTGTTATAGCAATAAAATTTAAATGTTGTTTTCCTTATATTTTTGATTTTGTTTTCCTCAAATTTTGTTTTCCTTAATTGATAACCTGCCCGATTTCTTAAGCGCGGGCATTAAGCTATGCTATAATTTTCCACTGTTGATTTGTGATTGTAAATGAACTAACTTGGCGCGCTACTTTTAGTAGAGGCTCTTACGGGCAAAAAGACGTGTTTTCTGCTACGAGTTTAGAGACCTAACCGCTAATTGGACACAATAGTATGATGTCTAAGGATCGATAATATGTTAAGAAGTATAAATTTGGCCTTATTAGTCACGTGATATACCAATGCGCGTTTTAAACTTTGACAGTCTATTACTCTAAGGCAAATAGAGTAATTATATTCATATTTTGTCAGCAATAAGATCACATTATTTTCTATTTAGTGTGAAAATATGAGCTAGAACGGACATAATCTCGCTGAGTTATAGCTGTTTGAAATTTATGATGAACGCGCGGCTGCCAATTGATAACAACTAAATGCTTTTGCGCGTAGTGCGCGTCGAAAATTTGGCAAAAACGCTTGCGGAGTGACAATATTCAAACTTCGATAAAGTATATGAAGTGGGTACTTCTCGGAAAGGAAAAATTTAGGCAAACACGATGTGACTATTTTTGGGTTGATTTAATACAACTGCAAAAAATTATTCAAACTTCAAGCAAAAAGTCAAATTTTTACCACTTTTTTGGATTTTTACCCCCAAAAAAATAGAGGGATTTTTCAAATTTTTATATCATCTTGTGCGGCTGTGTTTTAGCTATCTCCATGCAAGTTTTGCCGACATGCCAACAAAATTAACTTGTTCAAAATATCAAAAAAAATGGTTTTTTGGCCTATTTTTGGCCCAAAAATCGGTTTTTTTGCAATTTTACCCCCAAAAAGTCAGTCCAATCATCTTAAAACCACTTTTAATCGATTTTACGGTCAAAAATACGTCTATTAAGGTGTATCTGGGGTCCCTAGCGTATCGAGCAGACAATGCCCGTAAGAGCCTCGACTATTTGCAACACTTCTCCCGGCGTCAATAATATGCCGAGAAAAAAGCGGCGCACAAGTGCGCGGCTGCCGGCTTCCCATGTATAGTGAAATGACCGTGGGGGTCACGACGTGATACAAAGTTTTACCAGGCGCCCTTATTTGATCCTATGCACGGTGCTTTTTCCGCATTTTATAAAAAGTTCAACTGAGTTGTAGACTGTAGAGGTCAAATGCAAATTCTTCAGTACATGTAAATGTGTGAACACATGTAAATGTGTGAACACCACTTAAAACTTAATTAGCCACCCGATACAGAGAATATCGCAATTTCGATCAATACAAGTAAATCATTATCAGAGACCAATCTGGAAAAAAAGTATTGTATGTGTGTGTTATTATTATTTAAGTAATTGAGTTGTAGGTTTATAATCTACGAGGACGCGCGCCGAGTTGGACTCGTCGACGGTCCTATTTAATATTTGATACAAATATTTTACGAGTATTATATAACCCGTTAATAATTGAGGTGATTCATAATCCAATATTGGTGATTGTCTAGCTATAAGCTAGGTTGAAACCCTCACAAATGAATAAACCATTAACCAATACATTAGATTGAATTTAATAAAAAACGGTAGAAAATTATTTTAAAACTAGGGTAGAAAATAAAATCCTTTGTAATATATAAAACGGTCAACTAAAAATGACATTTCATTTGTGATTCACAATTCATAAATTTACACGTCCAATTGAAATTCTGTAACCTCCAATTGAAATTCTGTAGCCGCTTCGGCGGGGCGCGCTTCGCGCGCGAAAAGTGGCATGCAACGTATGTCAATTGATTACCATTACAAGATTTTAATCTATTCAGCAAGGTTTTTTTCCAATTTAAAGATCCGTCACAGATTTAATTTATCCATTATTCGGTCGACTAGACCGCAGGAGATTGCAAAGTACTTGGCACACCCTTTGAGATTGATGGTACAGGGCGGTCAAGAAAAGGCCCTTGAGTGACTTTAGTTAATAACTATCCTCAAATTTGACTTCATAACTCGAAACCTCTCAAATCATTTACTATGATTCTACAGAATCTGTGTTTAAAATCCAAGGCTTAACTCTACCCAGAATACGTTCATTTGGCCCATTCACTTTTTGCCAAAATTGGTTCTTATTGGATTTATGAAAAAGGTTATGAAACTGCTGCTGATCTGAGCCCATTTCATTCGTAAATTTGAGTACATTGTGAAGAATCTGAAACCAAAGCGATTCCCACAATTTCAAGGCTCTAACTCAGGACCTACGATGATCACCCTATCAGCAGCTACAGCATCTCAGCTGCATGGCAACCAGTTAGTAACTCTGTTAGAGCCCACAATAAAATGCTTATTACACGAATCTTGTGACGTTTTTAACCAAACGAGATGGTGATCCAAGCTCAGCATCACACGATCTTCACTTTGGTATCAGAACAATAAAGCATAAAAAATGATTGAAATGTCAGAAAAGTTGTGAAAAAGCGTCTCGAGCCTGCCACACCTACTCAAATGAAATTATTTCACCGAGTCCCTGTACTAATTAAAATTAAATTCCATTCTAAAACTGTCCTTGAGTTAGATTGAACACTTAACTTTGGGGCCTTAAATGCCTTTGTTGCCCGACACCCTGTTCAGTGGTGCAACATTGCATGTTGACGCCCCCCTCCCTCGAAAAAGCACCCCTTTTAAAGTAGATACGTAAAATTGGACAAATTAGGACTGGACGCACAGTTTTGCTAATGTTCTAGTTAAGTTTTTCAAATTTTTCCCACATTCAAATGACTATTTGTCACCCCCTAAGGTGCCCCCCCCCCCCCCCCGTGAAGCAGAGTCAGTGAGGTCCTTTGTTACGCCACTGACCCTGTTCAAGCAGGTGAGGGTGATAATTTTCTGAGGGTGATCAACTGAGTAAATATTTTACAAAGGGTAATGGTTTGAATTGTATAATGTTTGTAACTGTACCTGCAATATAAAGTCGATAGAAAAGTGTTCATTTAAGTAAAAATGTGTTTGGATTTCGTAATTTGTATGGTTATTTCTATTATTATTGTTAATAACTGTTAACTTTATAATTCAACATCAATAAAAATTGAGGCCACTTATTAGGCCATAAATTAGATGAAAATGTTTTAGAAAAAATTAATATTGATTCATTCACAGAGCATGGTCAACTGTCATGCAGTTTCTGTGAAGTTACATGGTGGAAAGACTCTGACATTTCCAGATGACAAACCAGTGCTTGAAATTTTAAAAGCCTGCGCCTCATCTTTGGATATATCAGCTCATTACATTACCCGCTTTACGATCCAAACAGAAAATGGTCTTCTCCTGCCTTACAGAAAGGGCATACCGAATAATGCTGACACATTGACCTTATTCGCTTTTGATGATTTACCTCTTGATGAAATGCTGCATAACAATGTGCCATGTTTTATGTACTACTTCAATCAATGTAAAAATCAGTTCTTGAATGGAGATCATGTTACATGTGATGTGAATAATGAAACAAGCATGTTGCTGCACAGGGAACTATTTCTTGTGTTCCTCAGAATAAATGGGCTGTCTTTGAAGCGTCCTGAAGTTGGGAAGACCTTAAGAAAGTACATTTCTATTTTCAAAATAAATCTTGCTGACGAGAAAAGTTTCCTTGTGAATGTCACAAATGCTATCACTGAACTGGAAAAATGTTCTGTAAAGCAACACATGCTGAACTTTATTGAAAACTACAGATTGCACGCTCTTCTTGGAATGAAAAGATACACCAAATTTGTTGGCATTGAAGTTGCTTTTGAAATGCAGCCTATATTTCTTAGTGAAGTGCTTATCAGTGAAAAATCAGTTCAGATTTTATCACCTTCCAAAACATTAAAACTTCAAGATATCTCTGCAGTTTCCTCTCATCACTCGTTGAAGGTTGACCTTTCTATGGCTGATGGGAGTCACTGCATTCTTCATTTGCCATCTTTTGTTTCGTTTGAAACATTTCTCACTGTTCTTGATCATTATGTTCGACTTCAAAATCGGGACACATCATGTCCATTGTCCTCAATAGTTGAAATTCCTACAGAATTTTGTGTGAATGATACTGAGAATCAGTTTGAATGGCTAAAAGAGCCCATTGTTCCATTTGAAGATATATCATCCAAAGAAGTTAAATTGGCCCTTGAAATTTATGGCAAGTCTTCTGGCTTATATGGTTTGATTAAAAATGACCATCTGTTCAAATCAAGTAAAGGTACAATATACATTCTCATATACTGTGTAGAAAATACTGTTTGCGAAAAGATAATATGCTGCAAAGAGGAAATGTATCATTTTGAAAACTCTCCACATTTGCGGTACACATCCATACCTGCTCTTATTCGTCTCTGCAGATTGGGTCTTGCATCATCTCCTTGTAAGACATATTTGCTGACCAAGCAAATTAATGACTCACTATTGTCAGACATTCAATATCCAGAGGTTAGAGACATTATTATTTCTCAATCAGACCTGTCAGCTCTCTACCTAGCACAGGAGACTTGGTTGGCTACCATTTACAGGGGCAAGCTTACTACTAAGCAACGCATGATCACACATTTTGCTTACAATAGCATGCTCATTTCTGACGAAGCCAGAAAGCTATTTTTTCTGAAGCTAGTGTCCTAGCTAAAGTGGAGAGTGAAAATGTTCTACAAATTCTACATCTTTGTGTGTCTCTTGATGCTACAGCAACTAAATACATTACAGAAGACATACCCTTTTATACACTCCATGAACATTTGAAGACAGAGTACATTCCCACATATGCACGTCTTGACATGAATATCAGAATAAGTGAAGACTGCACGGAAGGTCCAATGGCATTTACATTGCTCTTTAAATATGTCAGGGACATAGTTGCAGGATTAAAATTTCTTCACAACCACAATATTGTCCACACTCTTCCTGCACCCCAGCATATACTGTTGGACCAAGTCAGCAACAAACTGAAGCTTTTTGATGCAGGGTTTTTTGGAAAACTCTTCACATCATCATCACATCCAAGGCATATCATTCAGCAGTCCGAGAGCTTTGAAGTATCAGTTTTACGATGGATGTCAGAGACTAGCATATTTAAGTCTGAAGCTCTTAACTCGACTTATCAAGACAGGTACCCATATGCCATTTTCTCAAAAATAACTGTTGATATAATATATAGAGAACAGTAATGTAAAAATACAGAGAAATCATAGCCGGTAGAATTTTCTTTCATCAATAATTGTGGGCACGATAAATTGGCCAGTTGCCTCTAAATGTCATAAGTCAGGTATTTTGAACCTTAAAATACTGTTAGCAGGAGGAAGGGAAGCTGGAAAGGGGGAGGGCAGCAGCGGGGGCTAGGCATGATCACACAATTATGATATTATACTAATGATAAATGAAAACGTTAAGGCAAAGACTAGGGCAATAGTGATATTGAAATATTAGTGGATTATATTGTAATTCAGGCTTTGATAATGAACTACGGTTCACAACATTCTTCTAATAATAATCATTCTGTAGCAGTATGATATGGAAAGGATGACATTGCTGGAAGACATAACCTGGACGCCTCATGATATGAATCACATATGACTTCGTTGCAGCAGTGTAAATTCATCAAACTATTTCCTGATGAGAAAATCAAGATTACCGAAGGATCTTCTGTTTACAGTCTCATGCAAGCATGTGCAAAGCAGATAGAAATTTTACCAGAGTCCTTCAATCTTTTTAGGATTGTTCAGAAGAGATCAATTTTGCTCCCTTATAGAAAAAAGCTTCCAAACTGCAGTAAAAGTAACTGTCCTTTAACATTCAGAGTTATCGATTTCAATTTTGATCTAGAAGGATCATGTTTCAAAGATGTTTCCCTTTTGAACTACCTTTATCATCAAATTGTGTTCGATCTATTCTGCGATCCCAGTGCAGTTGATTGCAATTCATCCATCTTGGAAGTGCTCGCTGCAGATATTTCAAAAATTTTCCATCAATTAAGCTGTCAGAACTTAAAAGAAGCATATGATCTTTACTTTGAACTTTACGAGTCAAGATTGCCTCTGAAAAACCGTTTTTCTTTTGAGAAGTTTCAGAATAGTTGCAGCAAAATAAACACTTCCTCAGAATTTTCATGCTTAGTTCACATTGTAACTGTTTATGTCAAGGAGATTTACTCCGATCTGGATGTTATGAAAAGGACCTACAACGCCAAAATGTCTAATAAACCTTCTGGTGTGAAGGGAAAATCATTAGAAAAGAAGTTTATTTTAGAAGTTTCTTCAAAATATGTTAAAGCTAAGTCAGATGATAAACAACATGAAGATATCTTCTTCTTAAAGCAGGATAAACAATCCTCTGAAAACAGTGCCCACAACAAGATACTACAACGTATCAGTTTTCAAGAAAAAACTTCAGTCTCTCTTGTCTACAAAATGGGCACTCAGTGTGACCACGCACCTGTTGTCGTGTCTTTCAAAAGCACCAAAGAACTGGAAGCGTTTGTGTCCCTTGTTGATTACTACTTCTATTCAGTGTATCCTTATAAATTCTTGATATATAAGTTTCATGACATCAAAATTGATGAAAACTCCGTTCAGCATATACCAGACACAAGTTTTAATCTTATCAACCGTGATCCTCATGTGTCACATTTCATGGATCTGGAGGATGCTAAAAATGGTCTACAGAAGGTCCTTAAACATACCGGCTCATATACCATTGTCAAACCATCAAAAAACAATTCTTTCCTTCTTCTCTACACTATCCAAGACAAAATTACTCCAAAACAAATATTTCGCCGTGATGGGTTGTATCGAATTGTTGGCAATGAAGCATGCCATTCAAGAACTATCAAAGCATTTGTGGCAATTCTTAAACCTACAGTCGACGGCCGGAGGGTGAACTTGGACAAGCATATGTCAGACTCTGTACTGATTGATGTTCTCACGTTTGGTCACTTTCGTGCAAATATTCCACCAATGCTTGTCAGCATCAAACACCCATACATTCACTGCTCTTACACCCACAAAACTTACGAGGGAAGCTTTGAAGACCTCAGTGGACATGAAACAAAATGCAAAGTGATAGAATTCTCAGAACTCGTAGACAGAAGGTGGTTTACTGAGCTCTACACTTCCCTTCTCCAAGTCACCAAAGATAGCATCGTCAAATACATTGGATTCTGCAAACTTGGCAAAACACCAAGAGTATATGCTTTTGTCAATTATGATGCCATGATTTACCTGGACAAGTTTCTTGAAGAGTCGCCTCCCGCCCCCTATATCTCTCTCTCTATCATCCAGCAGATTGCGTCTGCTCTTGAGAAACTTCACAGCTTCAAAATAGAGCACAGCTGTCCGGCACCTCATCACATTCTAATTGATACCTTATCCTGTCAGTCAGCTTACGAAACCCCTCAATTCGGCATCAACATTAAACTCACTGATGTTGGATTGTCTAAAATGATGTTTCTGAAGGAACCGTCGAAGAACCCTTTTTGTATCAAAAACCCTTTCTGCACAAAAGATGGACAGTTTGAGCTGAGATGGCTACCTGAAAGCTTCTTGATGCACCCCTCGCCAGCTTTTAGTGTCTCTATTGATAGGTAAATAATCAGATCCGCCCAGTTGAGATGTGAAACTTGTATTCTCACCCTATTAGTGTAAGGAGTAATAGTTGTAACACCTTGTCATGTTCCGTCATATAATCAACAGATCTCACGTTTTTAGTGCACTTAGCGATCTAATTAAAATGTAAATGCACAAAAGGTCTTATCTTGTGGGTGGACAAATCTGACAATTCGAGCCAGTGGGTGGGTGTCTGCAATAACTTGGAAAAAGTATGAAGAAAGTAAGATATTAGAAATCTTAGTAATTGCCAGGTGGGGTGAGAATACAATTTATCTCACTCACAAGGGTGTGGTACCACACTCACAAGGGTGTGGTACCACACTCATAAGGGTGTGGTAATATGATCCTTAATGTTCATATTAATTTTGTTGGCTACGATTTCTCTGTATTCTTAACAAGAATACCTGCACTGATTTGTTGTGTTGTATACAACTTAACATATATCTATTAGTACCGTAATACGGTGTTGTATTACTTCTCTCTGCCTGTGTCCATATATAATACTCATATAATATTAACTATATAATAGTCTACCTATAATAATTACTGTTTGAATCTATCAAATCAAGTTACATTATGAGAAAAACATAGATATTAAATATCTTTGTATCATGCAAATAAGAGAAAAGGTTTTACTAGTAATAATAAATAAAATAAATTTAATAAATAATAGTTTTGTCGAATAAACACGTGACTATATTTTCCAGGTGGGTGTTTGGAATTACGGTGTGGCAAATATTCAACAACGGTAGCATTCCACTGGGAAAGCATTCCAACGAGGAATTGCTCAACAGATATCTGAAGATCAAAGAACAGCAAAACTGTGGTAACATGGCATCTAACATACCGTTCCAAGGATGGTTTCCTCTCAAATTGGACATTCCTAAGCAAGACGATCTGACCGTTAATAAGAAAATACAAAAGCTTGTCAACTACACCATCACCGATCATCTTAATGACCAGGTTACTTACATGATTTTCTAAATCACTAATTGTAAATCACTTAATTTTATAGTAGAGGGCTGAACTCTTTTCGGGGACTCTCCAAGGTAGAACAAAAAATATTCCGAGCCCAAACATTCAGACTGGGAAATCATCCTTTTGGCCACGCCCGTACTTACTTTGGAGAGATTCGTAGATTCCTAGATACTGGGTCATCGAATAGTTCGACCGCCCTTGCAGCATCGCTAAAGAAATCGTAAAGAAATTTGGATATGCTCAAATTAATTGCAGTGGCCATATTTATGTACAACTTACGAAGCAACATATACCAAAAAAATCCTAATTTTGGAATTATTGTCAGTCCTTATTTGGAAGTCTCTAGGCCCTCCTAGCCCAAAATCCTGCATACGCGTTTTCTGATTACCGGAAATCGGGAAATTAGTCTTTCGCCAATAACTCGAAAAATGAGTTAGTTTAAACCTAGTTTTTTCTAGTCTGAATTGTTGGTCTATAGACCTAGGAGAAAACCCAAACAAATAAAATGTTCGGTGCTCTTCTCATTTCCTGCATAACTGACCAGACTAATAATAACATTCAGTGTAAATGTAAAAAGATTTTAAATCTCGATGATAATTGCGGTAATTATATTTATAACACCTGTCACAAGTTGAGACGATAACTTCCATGAGACTAGTACTTTAAATATGAAATAGCTCAATAATGATTGCGGTCATTTAATGTGGGTTTTGATATATAAAGTCGAGACGAAAGATTTCATTTTCATTACTCGAATAGATTAATATATTAATAAGTAATCAACTTCAAGCCATCTGCATCAATTATAACACCTGTCACAAGTTGAGACGAGAACTTCCATAAGACTAGTACTTTTAATATGAAATAGCTCAATAATGATTGCGGTCTTTTAATGTGGGTTATGATATCTAAAGTCGAGACGAAGATTTCATTTTTATTACTCGAATAGATTAATATCTTAATAAGTAACCAACTTCAAGAAATCTGCATCATTCGTGGTAAGTACGATTAGGCTTATGGCCTCCTTAGGCTTATGATCTCCTTAAATGAACTGCAAAGACTTGCTCTAGAAAATTATGCCCATCAATCTGCGTTCTCAAACCACAATAGAACAAACACTCCTTCAGAAACGATCTCTTTAATGCTTCACAGATGGTTCCAGATAAATCTTATAAACCCCCATGATAACAACTAGTAACTGGCAGTGGTGTTAAATTTCAAATCTTTCAGGAAGATGCGTTTGAGGAAATAGCAGACTTGTTTAACAACGACGTCTTCCCTCTTGATAGAAGCGTCAACATCTACGAGAAACTTGAGAGGAACACTGAGATGAAGATTGAGAAGAAAGACGGAAGATTGTACTTCAGGAGGCAGCAGATCACTGCTCCCTCTCAGCCCAGTGTGTACTCACAGAGCCTGGATCCGGTCTATGATTATGGGGATAGCAATGTGTTCGATGTTCACACTGACTGCTCGGACGGAAGTGACTATGTACGTTTGTTATTTTTTCACCTCAGATTTTACTTGGGAAATTAAAAATTTCTTAAAATTTAACTGTTTTGAAGGTCCATGTTCAGTAAAAGTTAAGAGAAACCATGTCTTTAGAACTACCTGGTTGATTAAACACAACAAATTTTCAAACAATTTATTGTGCTCCAGCTTTATCTCTCTCTTTTTCAGAGCTCATCTATCGATTGTGAGAACGTGGATCCAGAAACAGACTTTTCAAACTCGGGACCCGTTCCAGATTGGTATCATCAAGCTACAACAAGTGATGCTTTCAATTACTTTTCTGACAACTGTGACAACAGTGATCCATTCTACAACGACGAACTTTCTTTCACTCTTCTGCAGGAATGCGAACTCCAAAATCAGGTGGGTTCAACTTTAGCCTAGAGGACTGTTAGGTCCATATATATTAGTATCTATAATAAAATTATCATATTGTTGTAATGATGGTTTCTCCTTTTTCTAACCTTCCAAATTACTAAATAGTCCACCATTTTCTGATCACCATTACTAATAACCCCTAACTAAATCCTACTTGTTTCACAGTTGCACAAGTTTAATAATAAGAAGTGGGAATCCTCCTTCTACAAGCTAGGTGAGACAGTGGGAGCAGGTAACTTTGGGGAGGTCTGTAAAGCTATAGTCCAGGATAACGAGAGGATACCTCCTGAGCTACGCCGACGTGAAGTTAGTCTTGTTAAACTCTGACTTTTAATCTATTAACAAAATTAAATGTACTCTTGAATTTATTCAGTTAAACAACGTTTAAAACTTCCTTGCTAAGTAAGAGCTGTTTTGGCACTGATTTATATTGTTATATCACCACTACACTACCCTATACGTCATCTTACCTTCCAGATCGCTGTGAAAATATTTTCCCTGCCCGCCGCCCACGACAACGCTATCGAGACAATAGTTCAAGAAGCCGAGAACATGTTGAGATTGGAACACAATCGGATTGTGCCGCTCTATGGGATCAGTTCTTCTCTGGAGAACAAGGAGATACACATCATCATGCCGTTCTATCAGATGGGCAGCTTGAAGAGCTACATTAGGCAGTTCCATAATGAGCTCAAGGTAATGTGTGGGTATAAATACTAATATACTATATAATAAATACTACTATAATAATACTACTATAATATAGTAGTGGGAACTTATAACTGGTTAGATAATGTCGGAGAGATGGTTTTGAAACACCTTTGAAGTTTTATTCGTTGTGTGTCTACATTAATATTCATACAAGAGGACAAGGTGGACTAGTTTCGCATTGATCTGATATAATTAAATCTGATTTAATATAGTTATACAGAATTTAACCGACACTGGTCTAGGAGAAGGATCTGTGTCTGTTTGGTCTACAGATAGCTGAAGGAATGGAGTATCTGAACAGCAAGGGGTTTGTTCACAGAGATCTGGCGTTGCGGAACATTCTTGTCGTTAGTCACAAGAACGTCAGGATCGCAGACCTGGGACTAACTCGGGTGAGTTACGGTTGGGTAATCACATAAAAGCACGTACAAGATTTTAAGGTCGTCACTCCTTCACGCTACTGATCCCCCGTACGTAAATATAAAATCTGGTTCTTTAATTTTTAGTTCTTCTATTGACAGACTCGATTTAATTTTAGTTGATAGAAAAGTTATCACTTTTAATGAAAGTCTAATTCAGAAATGTAATGCACAAAATTCTGCTGCAAACTATTATTATACAAGGACGTTTGTTGAGTTTGAATATTTTGAACGGCTGTGCAAAACCCGATAAAATTGTGTAAAGGTTACTGATTTCTAAGTATGAAAATAGTATCAGCAATAAAATGTATTACGATTTTGGGATAAAGTATGCGAACTATTTTACGGAAATCTGACTAGCTAAAAACGCGAGTTTTTAACTTTGTAATATGGCATATGCTGTGTTAATTTCTAGACTGTTCTATTTTAACCTTAGTTCTGCATTTATCGATGTAGGTTCTTATTGTACGTGTTCCGTCCATATTTCAAGCGATTGCTCTCGGAAATTTAGTTGAGATCTAAAAATTACGCCCAAATATTTAAATGATAATATTATGTCAGTACCTGTTTTTTTAATCATAATATTAATTCAATATCAAAAAAAATCCTGGAGTAAAAATCTAATTGAATGCGGTCTCTGAAATAATCTGATTGAATCAGTATCCAGCAAATGATTAGATGGTGGTGCGCTGAAATTCAAAGAAAATGTCGCCTGGAATTAGCACTAGCTCACCGCACAATTATAAACTGATAAATTTGTTCACGTCATCCTGCCTGTTATATAATCATCATATTCAGAACGGGGTAAAATACCAGAACTACTCTTATTTGTGGATAGTATCAATGTGATAATAAATTATTTCATTAGTTAATTAAGCATTTATGGTAATTAATTAAAATATGATTGTGAACTGTAAGGTTCAAAATACAGGTATAAAGTATGTGTGCTATATAATAACAGTCAGAAACTCGGGCATGGTTAGCAACCTACCTTGTGTTGGTTTGTGCATCATGTGAGCAGGACAAAAACACATTATACTTCATAATATGTATATTCACAATATCATACAGGGTGGAATTAAATATCAGAACTTCTATTATTTTGTGAACAAAATTATAATATATACCCTCGTTTTTCAGGGCGTGGTAAAAGACCAGGACTACTACTATTTTGTGAACAAGTCAATGAAAGCGGGCCTCCCAACCCTCTGGTATCCCCCTGAATTCTTCAACAAATCAAAGTACGACAAGTACTGCGACGTGTGGAGTTACGGTGTTACCATGTTCGAAATGTGGTCCAATGGAGAAGTAAGTCCCATCTCTTAAAGTCATAATTTGCATTGTTATAAAAATATCGAGATTTTAAGTGTTTAATTTTAGCGACCGTCTGTGCTAAACATTATCATTTGTACACAGTTTTTGAATTTATCTGGGACTTCTAAACTTTTAAAACACCCTCAAACTCTTCATAAATCACATCTGTAGAAACGTGAGATCTGTAGAAACTACCGTGGCTCGGTTATTGAGTCAGCCTCAATGGTAGACAGCCTCAAGGGTTGCCCCCTACTAGGCCAGGTTATTGGTCACGTACATTTAGTCACGCATCTCCAGTCTCGACTCAGTATAATAGAATGCAGTGTTCAGCAAGGAACATTGCATTGATATCAACCCGTTTATATCAAAATTCAATGTTTAAATACTGCATAAAATTGGCCGATGTCAATTGGCTTAACCAATGAGCTTATACCTTATGTGTACGTTTTATCATTGTGTCGAATTTAAATTTGCTTCTCTACCGAAACCAAGAAGATACTGATAACCTACCGACCCTAGGCATTATAAAGCTGCTTCAAATGTTATGTGCCTTCGAAGTAAATTTGGTAATTGGTTCTGTGTAGGACGCTGTGGTTGGCAAAGAATTTATTTAAGGTATGATTTGACGATTGAATTGAGCGCGAACTAGGTAAGATGTTCCTTGAAGTACCAAGGTGTACACTAGGTAATGTGTTCTTATAGTTTTCTGAGTTCCCTGAACTTTTATATCTACCGGCCTGTGTTCTAAAGTAGCAGACTGAAATGTTAAGTCCGAAGTTCAAGTGTAATACTGTAACATATCACATAGACTTTGGAATGTTGACCTGAGGGGATCATTACAAACCAACTGTTAATAAATAACACATTGCCTGGTAAACCGGCACTTCATTATTGAGTATAATTGCAGGCAGCCTCGAGGGTTGGTCCTCTTGTGACTCTTGACAGAGGTGCAGTGGTCACGCACCGCGGTGGTCACGCACCAATATTACAATACAACAACAATATCGAGCATACCCTAGATCCTAATTTATCTCAAATATGAGCAACATTGATTGGATCGAATTAAAAACTCCCTCTTCACTGAAACTTCAAGTCGAAATGATGTGTCCCTAATAAACATTAACATATTGTAGAGCCAGCCGCAGATTTAGTATATAATACTAGCAGGAACCCGTCTAACCCTAAAATGGTGTCAAGACTAAAGAGACTAAAATAATTATTACCTATTTAATTCGCGTTTTTGACACCACCAGGACTCCAAATTTTGGGCACTAAAATTCTTATTCCTTGGCCAATTTTTAAATTTTTCATGCTATTTTGAAGGCCATTAAAGCATTTGACCCAGTCAACAAAGGTTCAGCTTTATATCTTTTACGGTTTTTGCGGAACGTCGTGTTAAAGTTGATGCCGTGATGTCAGTAAAATGGTAAGGATATATTATATTATATGTAGTAGTAAGATAGTAGTATCTAGTACAGAGTACATAGTACATATGTACAAAGTATATTAGTATATAGTAAATGGTATGTAGACCGGTCTGCGAAGCAAATTACGACTAATTGTAGAGATAAGAACAGGATAGAACCAATAATTATTTTGCAGAACATCCAAGATATCCTTTGGATAGGCAGAGGTATTGTACAGACCACAAGAAATGTGATAAATTACACAAATGTTCCCAATGCTTTACTGTCCGGAGACCTACTAAAAGTAAAGATCGTTATACATCAAGTGTATACATGTATACAAGTCTGATGTTCTTACGCAAGCTATTTAGCATGTTCAGGAAAGAAAAAATAGCAGATGCGACCAAAATCATAGAACTACAAGAGAAGTTACTCACTAAGCAAGAAGAAGATATGGCAAAAATCAATGATTTGCAGGAGAAGTTAGCTTTGAAGAAGGATGACGAGATTGGAACTGTGAAAATTGCAGCTCAGAAAGAGATCAAAACCTTTTCGTCTCTGTTGAAAAACGCGTGCAAAAACGCCTTTGCACCGAAGAAAATCCAAGCTGCAGTGAAAACGGTTGCCCTAGAAGATGATCGAAGTAAAAGTCTGATTATCTTTGGGCTTCCAGAGACGGAGGAAAACCTGGATGCTAAGGTATCTGGTATTTTGTTGGACCATCTCAACGAAAAACCGAAAATTTTGAGATGTAAACGAGTTGGAAAGGACACAAGTGAACGAGTCAGGCCAGTGAAATTCATTTTGTCAAGCTCAGATCAAGCTCGTACCATCTTGAGCAAGACTAAGCTACTAAGACATGTAGACGGGTTTAGTTCAGTTTACATCACTCCTGATAGATCAGCTGCAGACAGGATGGCCTACAAGAAAGTTGTCAACCAGCTACTCAATAAAAGGACAGCAGAGCCTGACAAAGTTCATGTTATCAGGAACTTTAGAGTCATTAGCTCGAAGAAGGAGCCTTTAGAGTGATATATTTTCTATAAGTACCATATTATATGTTTTAATTCATTGATTAATTAATTTTTTGCTAGGGCCCAATGTTATTGCGGGTGTGGTATTTCTTACTGCACACTACTGTGTTTTGGTTACCCCTCTTTCAATACATAATTTGGGTTTCATACTGGGATAATGGAATTTAGGACTATATCGGTTTTCTCCTTGTATAACTGGGTTTATTTAGAAGCATTCAATTCTGTATAATTATGTATTGTTTGAAAAGTTTAAGATTTAAAAAAATTTACAGCAGTCAGCACCGAGTTAGTTTTTTCATGAGAGCTATATTTAGGTTAATTCACGAATACGAACCTTTTAAAAAGTAAATACACTGTTCTTTAAAACCCTTCAACTCTTCAAGTCACAGCAGCTGTAGATAACCGTCACATATGTCATGGAGTATAATCATTAGCAGCATCGGGTGTTGTACACAACACTGTTAAACGATCACTAGTCACGTTTTAATTTGGTCACACTCATCAGTCATCTGGTCACGTGGTCACGACTCACGTTCATCTGGTTACGTGGTCACGTTCATCTGGTCACGCACAATGTCAGCTCATATGCTCAAATATCCCTTGTGTGTGAACTTTATTCTTTATAACATTACGTAACTGCGGTGTGGTTATAGGAATACAATAGGAATACAATATAGGAATATCAATTTAAAATCTTAAGTTACATAACAGTAACTGTTAAGATAATAACAACATCATAAGATTTAGATTTATTATATTAATATAACTTACTTAAGATTGACTACTAGCATAAGTTCATACAGTTCATATATTATATGTTAGGGTGACTGACAATTGAACCCAATTGAACCTAGTTTGCACGCAATTAACAGGCAACCAATCAGCTTAATTGGGTGACCATCAGCGTAAATCCCAAGACAACAACTGAACCCAGGTCATATTACAACTGAACCCAAATTTATTCCCGATCCATGACTCAAAGTGCCGAAGGCTGATAGACTGATAAGTGATAGGGTTTATAATTATTTTCCCAAGCTACCCTGTCTAGGAAAAAGTCAAAATTAGGGTTGAACAGTTGTCAGGTTTTCTCGCACAACATTTCTCAATTAAGCCCAATTAACCACGTCATTCACCCAGATACCGTACAAAAGGTACAGAGTTCAGAAGCAGCCCGAACTGATCGAGTTCCTGAAGACGAGAACTCTGGACATTCCCGAGGGAACGCCGCGCATTTTCGTGCACGTCATGAAGGTACTATTTACACATTTACACATTCTTTTAATGTACAACATCAATTCAGTGGATTTGCTGGATTATTGTTTAAGGACAAACATTTTGAACATGCATTCAGGGGACATTATTGGCATAATGTTTCACTTAATCATGTACTTAATCGTAAATTTAATTTCTTAATTCTTTTATTCATAATTTGTTCTAATCTAAATTATAATTAAGTTTAAATTTTGTTATAATGCAAATTATAATTAATTTTAAATTCGTTCAATTATGGCATAATATTTCTTTCGTTACAGAATACTATGTAGTGTTTGGGTTGGTGCTGAGGCTTAGATAGTAAATTTAATAAAAATTCAATACAAAAGTTACGCTGATTTTGATTAACTGTAATATGAACGTTTATAAAAGTATTATTAAGTTAATACGTCACTTGCTTTGATAAGTTTTAGTCAAAAGAGTCAACAGGGGTGCACTAATTATTAGTATGAGATTGTTGCCGCAAATTTCATGATTCGATTTTGAATTGATTTCTTATATACATATTATAGAATGATCATTGAATTAAGAATTTAAATTTAAAAGTTAGAAATTTGCACGACGGCCTGAGACCTTGCTGTGTAAAAACCTATGGGTGCAGCGGCGTGCACCTCTCGGCAGGTAATTGCAATCTAGCGTTCTCTCATGAAATATAGTGACTAAAATTGTAACATTTCTAAATTTTCAGAGGTGTTGGAAGGAGAAGAGGGAGCGTTGGGATTTTACTGCAATCGTCAACTTTATCAAGTCCAAGCTTTCCTCACCAAGAGTAAGATCTTTTCACCAATTTAAAGTCATTTTTTAATAGTCATTTAATTTTTATTGTATTGTATTTATTCATTTGGGTTGTGGTAGTGGCAACTGCCTCTGAGAAGACAGTAGAGATACTTTATTTTCTGAATCTGTTGATAATTTATTCCTTTTTTTAGTGTTTTGAACAATTAACAAAGCGAGTAATCTACTAAACTCTGAACCAGAAAATCTCGCACAAAATTTGAACCCTCAAAAATTGGCATTTTTCCCGAGCGCTCATTCAAAGAAAATTACCCGATCACTTTTGGATTCGCTTCATCGACTTAAGAAATTCAAAGTAAAGGATATTCCACATAATTTCTTTAAAAATAGCCATATTGAAACATTATATTATTATTTATTAAATAAAAGTTCTAAACAAGGGATAGTTAAAAACAACGCCCAGTCTAATCCTTCCCTAAAACAAATAACTAAATATCAAAACTTCATTGTAATTTCTGCCAATATCCCTTATCTGTATCATTTAAGCTAAATTACGGAGATAATGCAGATCAAAAATATTATTCATATAAAGATTTCTTTTACATAAATCATGCACAATCAGTGAGAATAAATTGCTTTAGGATCTTCCTCTTCTCCCTGGTAAGTCCAGTGCATTGATGGTCGATGGAAAAAATTGAGGGAAGAAAACGCTGGTCCATCAACAGCTCAACAGGACCCCGCAAAACATGTCCTAACATTCTCCACCGACTACGGGCCACTTTTTCTGACAATGGTTGAGCATTGCAGCGTTTATACAAGAGATGTAGGAGATGACTCCTGGGTACTTTATATTAAAAATAGAGCGAAGATGTCTGCGGTGAACATTATCTAGTTTTTCACAATTATATTTTAAAAGTTATAACTTAAAAGTTTAAAGATTTTTAAATTTATCGATATCCCACGAAATTTTGAATAAACAACGCCTCAGCGTCAAGAAAAATACTTTATATTCAAAATAGAGCGAACAACAGCTAGTTTTTCAAACATTATATTTTGCATAAATTTTAAAAGTTTAAAATTTTTAAAATTTATTAATTTTCCACGAAATTTCAAATAAAGAACGCCTCAGCGTCAAGAAAATACTCATGTAATGTCATTAACATCGCGCTGAAACGTGCCGAAACGTCCTAATCCTTTTTACAGTTTACTTCAGTAGGTCAGTGAGTCAGTCATCTGTGAAATGGTCATCCATATTTTGGAGGCTGAAGAATTACTCTATTACATACTTCAAATTGGCTCGACACATTTTTTCAAAATTTCATCGTTAGATATAAACACTGGTGATGCAATGAATTGTTAAGTTGATTTTAATTATCTTACTAGGTTTAAAATTTAAATCAAAATAATCTTAATATATATCGAAAGTTCACCATTTCTAAAAATAATAATTCCCAAAACAATCAGACGACACAAGTGAATGAAAGTTATTAGATGTTAAACGGATTCTAACCTTGCACATTCCAGTGATCTTCAGGACATGTTACTGGCTACTGCCACTTCCGTGACTGTTCTGTAAAGGACAGTCTCCTGCCTTAGGAAGTTGTCTTCTACAAATGCATCCTCGGAATTCCTATAAAGAACATCTTTCTTACTTTCACGGCTGTCAACTGTCATTACCTGTTCACCTCCAAAGGAACGCCCGCTGTGAAATATAGTCTCCATTGTCGCTGTCTGTTGGTACTATAGCGATGGATTTCCGTGTCGTTTAGTTGGTCTCCCACCGCAAGAAGACGGCCCCAAGTAGAGTATCCTCAAAGTCGGAGCAGTTCCCCGATGAGAACATCTCTCTTACTTCCTCAGTTGCCTTTTAAAGATGTCCATCTTCAGGAGTTCACCTCCAAAGGTAGTAGAGATAAAATCTCCATGTGATACGCTCATGATGCCACTAATTTGATCCTCAAAATCATCACATACTGAACAGAAGATGACCTCCTCGCATGTCTGCTATCTTTTGTAAACGTTCATTTTTAAGTTTAAAAGTTGACCAAATATCCATGTGATACACACTTGATGCCACTCATTTGAGGGAACTCTTTGAGATCTGGTATGTCACCATGTTCATTATCCTAAATGTGGTAAGTATGTCCTAATCTCTCGAGCTGCATGCAAATCACGCATCAGTAAAACCTTCATTCGTTTTCTTGTTCACCCAGCAGCAAACAGAAATAACTCTTTTGATAGGCTTCATATCTAACAGTACCATTATGGTGGATTCGTGTAGAGTTATTGAGTCTCATGATTTGATAGTTCTTTCATTCAAATTTCTGATTGTTTCTGAATAGACTCAGTGAAGACAGATTCTACCATTACGGGTAAACCCCCCCTAAAATGTCACCCACCCCTAAAACGCCACTCTTGATTGATTGGATCCCATCTTTTTAGAAAGTATCTTACCTAATCATTTGTAACTCCTAAACATAAAGAAAGATCATTCAGACCCTGCCACATCCTGAAATTGAATCTAAATGATGCCATAAGGGCATTTTTTTCACTTTGTACGAATTTTTTACTTTTGAAAAAAAGCGCACAATTTTATAACTCTGGAATTCATTAATATTAACTCAGTTTTGGTCTAGGATAGTGATATTTACATATTTTAGCAACTTTGTACATATGACTGGAGATATGGAAAGTTATACATTACTCAATATTACTACCCTCCCCTAAAATGTGAACTGGCCGCCCCCTAAAATGTCATTTTATCAGATTCTGGCTTTGAGACTACAAGCACCATAAAATGGAGGTACCAGCCTATTAAACATCATATTTAGCATCTAATGGTAATATTGGAAAGCTTTGGCAGCTCAAAGAATTAGTTTTATTTTATTAATCGCAATAAACATCCCCTAAAATGTCTAATTATCCCCCCTAAAATGTCATTTTAACCTGATCAAATTACTCAGGCTTTTCCTAAGATGCAATGCATACTCACATTTCGTTAATAGTTGATGTTAATAATTAACAAGTGCCAAAACAAGAGCTATTATCGCACACCGTGCGAACAAAATACAAATTTGACATTTTAGGGGAGAAAAAAATGACATTTTAGGGGGCATATCATAGGTTTACCATAAACTAGTAAGTACCAAAAACCGTAGTTTTTGACATTCAATTTTGCTAAAAGCAGTCAAATCTAGTCTATAGAGAAGGTCAGATCGATTACTGGGTTGGCTTAGTAAACTACGGGTCACTAAAATTGCCAAAATGCAGGATGATGTTAAAAATCCCAAAAAATGCAATTAAAACATGCAATTTGCACAAGGTTAAAATCACATCGAATCCATTTCTTTTGTGCCAATTGTTAGTTTATAACTAGATAATCTAACTACAGGTGTTAATTTTGTTGACTGAGTTACTGTTTTTCCGTAAGTTCTGGGTATTCAAAAAAAGTCCCCAAAATGTCACAAAAAGTAAATTGACTAAATTCCACCATTTTTTTTCAACAGAGAGAGAAATTCTAGTCGACACCTCTCAGAAATAGGTTATATTAGTCCCAGAAGTGGTTAAAATTAATAATTGAGCAACATTCTGAGTGCTACACAACCTGTTTTAGCTGACGTTTTAGGGGTGGTGCACGTGACATTTTAGGGGGTGATTACGGTTTTGAGGTACTTCCTTTAGTGAGTGAATGTTTTCAAGTAGCTTAATGTTTTAATAAGACAAAACAAATAGTACTAGTGACAAAAGATAAATCAGGCCTCCTGTACATTTTGTAATTATCACACATATAGAAATGACATTTTAGGGGTGGTGTTTTAAAACGAACTCCATTTCAACGTCAAAAAGATTGTACCTGATTCTATTTTCAAATTTCCAAATCTTCCTGGCAGGCTAGAAAAAGGTTTAAATATTATTCCTAGACACTTCAGAACCCTGTAAATTTAGCCCTAACTCGGCAATATGGGCCCAAAAAACAGGTGACGTTTTAGGGGGGGGGGGGGGGGGGGGGTTTACCCGTATGTATCATTATGTAAGCAGTGGCTGGAGCAAAATCAGAGATCTACTCTGCTGAGATTTTCTACCCTGTATATGTAGAGTCAGGATTGTCAGAGTTAACAGCAAAATTGGAGCGAATGAACGATAATAAGGAAAATATTGATATGATGCAAGGTTAACGAAGCTGAATATTAACGTGCCTCACCAGATAAGGACGCAGGTTTCTAATATCATATAATTTACATACTTTCAGTACAACTTTCGGTCAACATCAAATCTCGGCACCTTTTTATCTTATCTTCGATTAAGTTAAAGTTGAGTTTTAATCTTCCTCCGGTTATACAGAAACGTTTAAATTGGCACAGAGTCAAATATTGCTAGTTTAATAATGTTGTTATACACGAAAAAAGGTTCTGTGTTAAAGTACCTAAATGGTACCAACTAAATGGTACCACTTAAATGGTTCCACTTAAATGGTACCAACTAAATGGTATCGTATCCTTTCTGTTCCGTAGGCGGTGGTTTCAATTACCATCTCGGAAACGTGGAGTAAATTAAAGAGCTGGTCAGGTAGAATAATTAATAAAATGCTGGTACACCTAAACAGACAAAACAGACATTACAGACGTTACTATATGTGATGATTGATGCAAGTTGTTACTTTGTTAGAACCGTGCAAGAGCAGTTTACCTGTTAGGAGGGGTAGACCTCGCACACACTACCACACTTCAAGTACTTAAAGATGGCTTGCTTTTTATGGATATTACGTTATTGGTTGTGGACATTTTAAATTTTAAAATGTCCATAACCAATAACGCATGTTTTAATAGTACCTGATTCCAAGCATCTGATAGAAAGTTACGTGTGGCGAATGTTGAGTTTAAACTCATAACTTGAGATCTAAAGTGAGTGTGAGCTATGATTGGCTGTCTCATCCAATGAAAGTGTTTGATTGGCTGTTGTTTCAGTACACTACAGAGAACCCAGAGGACACGTATATCTACACACAAAGTCGCGTGTGTGGTGGAAGTTTTGCTACTCAGAAAGTTCCTGTTAAGGAAACAACCGGTCTTAAGATCCTCAACCCTTTCAACTTCACCGGTAAGTTCATCATTGACCTTTACTGCGTCCTTTCCAGGAACCAAGTCGTCATAATATTTGTCGTCATGATCAGTAAAATTTAATTAAAACTTTATCCACTTGACTGTTGGAAATATTTTGGCAAGTTGCCAATCCGCCAATGGCAAGGTGTCATGACTTGTCTCCCGAAATAAGACTGGGAGGGGCTAAATATTCACATATTCACCACAGTCACATACATGTGAGTTATTCAGAATAAATTATGGAATATTTTCTGGTGGAGAATCACGTACTCGACCCAGTCACGTAATATTTACAAAGGAGCAGCCCCTTGCGGGGTAGACTTGTAGGTCTGATCTGAGTAGCTAATTGCATCATATCATTAAGCGTTTTGAGCTAAGCCCTAAGGGCAGTGCTCTACTTTAGTGAATAGGGTGCACCTTAAAGGCACTATTAAGGACGCCAGCAGCTTATGCGAAATAAGTGTGGTTCGAGAAAGGGAATGTAGATTTTTAGGTCCTTGGAAAAACTTCAGGACAACTTTCGGAAAATCTAGCAAAAATTTATTGTACCGATTTGGGGATAAGGGGGATGAGTTCCGAATTTTGTTGATAAAATAGATTATAGACCTCAAAGAGGGTGCAACTTTTCCAACAAAATTGTTCAACTTCAATCTTGGCAGGTTTATCTTTTCAGTTTCATATCTAATTTAACAACAATAACACAATGAACCTAGCAACCTAGGAACGAGGGGCTGATCTCCTTTTCTTTAGCGGTGCGGCCACGGTCCTTTCGTTACAGATTTCCCTGCAGCATAACAACCCGCATTAATTATACCTTATTACTAATACTAACCGTTTATTTCGATAGTGGACAAGGTTCAATTTTCTTAGCTATTTTATCAATCTTACTAATCTATACTAATAATCTCAAGATGTGTGTTTGGATACAAGGATACAAGGATACAAAAGTAATAATTATTTTATTGAGTTCACAATAGTTATAATTTTGAAATAATTTAAAGTTACACAATTCTAGTTATTTACAAATGTGTTGGGATAAAATAGAAATGTTTTATATACTATTTTTCTTTGGATAGATCGAATTTGTAGAGTTTGATCTTATTATGAGGTCTTAAAGCATTATGCACTGGCCAGTATTTGAGTGGAAATCTGGACTCTTATAGTAGGCTGTAAATTGTTCGTTCACAGAGAGAATTGAATGGATTGCTCTTGCTGTGGCAGTAAATTTTGTATGGTCTAGAGTTTTATCGGATAGCAAACCGGCTAGGTCAGTGATATTTTTGGTATGGAAGTTAAATTTTTCTCTAACTGAGGAGTAGAGTAAACAGTCAGTTAAGACATGAATTTCGTCCTCGATAGGCTTAAGCCCCTTGCTGAAAAAGCAGAACCATCGATGTTCTCTTGGTACTAGGGGGGTTTCGTAACGGCCCCTCTCAATTTAAAGGTTGTGGCAGCTAATACGAAACCTTGTTAAGCTTTTCCGAGCATCAGGGATCTTAACCACTCCTAAGTATGTTTCTGGTTCAAAGTCATGTTTAATTTGATTATAGAATTCTAATTTAGGCGAGGATGCCGTGGCAGATTTCCAGGTATCCACAAATTCTTCCCTCATGTTGTGACTGATTTGGGTAGAGAGATTTTGAAGAGGATGAGTGGGGGAAGTTATATTTGGTGAGAAGATTGGAGATGTTGGAATACCAAGGAAGGCCCAGCATAATCTTCTCGTGAAATGCAGCGGAGAGAAGTTCATTTTCAGTGCTTTCAAGGCGACTATAGAAATCTATTGCAAGTTTGCAGGCTTCAAAGAAAAGGGGGTGGCGCCCACTTTCGCCCCAGCAGCCTATATTTGATGCTTTTGAATGGACAGACAAAGACCACTTGATAAACTTAAGGTGGAATCTTTCATTTTTTTTATTTGAAAATTCAATTAATTATTATATATATATATAAATCAAGCGTTACATTTCAGCCATGCAAAATTACAATGACATATTTTGATATACTAATTGATAAATGGAACTGCAATATAAGTTGCTTAATGTTTGGCAGGATGACAACTAACTAAAAGAGAAAAATAAACTTGATTACATAATAATTAATTCGGCTGAACCAACACATTAACGTTGGGGCCGTCTAAAGTGGTCTTGTGAGATGTACTTGAGAGTATGCTGGGGGTTGGCTTTGCTATCTGTTTTGGAGAGGTATCTCATGGTTTTTGAGTGGGGACATAAGATTTGGCAGCCATAGAGCAGGATCGGTTTTATTAGAGAGTCAAATAGAATGTTTAGGGAACGGTGAGAGAGGGCATCTTTAACGATATTGCCTTTAAGGCCATAGAGAGCACGGAGAGCCTTGGCCCTCAGCTCAGTATTTGCTGCTGTAAAAGATCCATTTCTGTGGAATATTATGCCAAGATAGCAGTATTTTTCGGTGTGTTGGATGGGCTGGCCTCCCAAAGTGAATGTTTCATAGGATCGTTTTCTTTTAGGAGGGCAGAATATGAGAATCTTGGTTTTTAAATTTTTACTTCAAGGCCCATAGAGTTACATTAGCCGAATAGGATGTTGATATTGTCTTGCAAGGCCTTGGGACTTAGGGCAAGTTGGACAAGTTTGTGTGTGTGTTCGCGTGTAATTTCCGAACGGCTTAATCATGAAAACAGATATGGGACTAGTTTTTTGGTATAGTGCCGACAAAACTCTGACGAAGCCAAATTAATAAGGTTTTTCAAATCGGTCGGTGGTAAGTGGTTTAATTGATCATTTTGTGACCCAAATGTGATACTAAAGTGTCTCAGTACTCTCCCTCTCTCGCTCTCTCTCCCCTCATAACAGATTTGCTATATAATTACCTTAAGAACGACAAATTTAGTCTACCATAAATTTAGTCAAACTTTTGACTAAAATTGTTGTAAACCAAATTTCATGAGACTAAATTTTTCGGCGACTAATTTTAAAGCAGACCAAAATTTCAGTAGAGCAAATATGACATGAATATTATTAAGCTAACATTGTTTATAATTAATATATGACATCACCGTTCCTACTGCACAAAACCGTACCAAAGTCCTATTGCACTTAAAGAGTTAGAGCTCCTCTTGGACATAACATTTTTAATCGATCCATCCCAATGCATGCTCTGTTGAACCGGCTGAAGGATCATATCGACATAAACTACGTCGTACCGACAAAAATGGTAAAGTCGAAAAAGGGTGAAAAAGAAACTGAACAGTGTACTGAAGAACTTAGTGATACAGAGTCACAAACTCTGGATCTGATGTTATTGAAATTCCTGAGTTATGCATTGCAGCTTAATCTTTAATGCTCAGACGGGTTAGACTAAATTTGTCGTTCTGAAGGTAAATGGAATGGAAAATGGTCTCGAAAAGTCGAAAAATGTGACTAAAATTGTTGTAGATTAAAAATTTGCGAAATTTGTGACTAAAATTATGGTAAACAAAATTATGGTAACCAAATTTATTGTTAACCAAATTTATTGTGAACCACATTTATTGGCCCTAAGGTAGGTAATTTGGCAGGGGACCTCAAGATTGCCTATCAAGTATTACTATAAGATACGTGAGGGGCACTCAGAATTAAATTACGGTGAGTTGGGACAGAGCGAGTTCATACTTTCGCACCGTTTTAACTATGAAAATGTAATGCGTGTTTTCGAATATGAGAATATAATAAACGCCAGGCTGGTTTATACTTTTGCATTTCAACTGCGATATTGAATATATATATAACTTTTGCCCATGGTTTTAACTTAAACTTCACAGTCATACCTTATTCTTAACAATAACATCAAACATTTTCTTGGAGTTTTAACCTCAATTTAGAGTTTTAACCTCATTTTGAAGTTTTAACCTCATTTTCACGTTTTCATAGACTTTTAAAAATCATTTTCTTCATTTCAACACGTGTGCTTCGCGAGCACACCCCAAAATATTTTGTAACTTCGCTTTGAGTTCTTAACTTGACGCTAGGACCTATTTTAGGTGTTATTTGCAGCGGTGTATAACTTTAGTACATCACTTGAAATTACGACACTATTATTCGATCTGCTGCAGCTTCGTAATGTAAGATAATATAGGACCACTCATTATAATATACAAAGTAGGTATAATAGATTTACAAAGGCTACAACGTACTATGAGTACTGAGTAGCAGGCTATTAAGCAGGCTATCACGTGACATCTCACCCCTTTCAATATATGTACAGGGTATCAAGAAACATGCTTGATAATGTAACCTGTATGTAATGATTATGCTACACTCTGACAGTTCATCACCAAATGAGTGGAACCTTTACAAATATATTCATCACCAAATAGGTTCATTCCTTGTAAGCTTGTAGTTGTACTCATATTTGCTACAAGAGAAACGCCATTTTCGGACGTGAGGAGAGTTAGGACTCCTCCAACTACATTAAATTAATTCCTTCTGTAACGTCCCCAATAAATGTAATAGATTTGTAGAATGTAGTGTTGTAATTAGTTTACATATTATGTATGTTTTATGTACAGGGTGGGTCAAAAGTCAGTGTGCAAACGTTGGCCTTAATAGCTCAGTCACTGAGTGCCCAATTGAGATAATTCTTTCCGGTATGACTTACTACCACCACTGGTTCGAGAAATTTAACCGTATATTAAATTATCACAACTTTGTTCTCCATGAAACATGTTAATCGTCACGTTTTATGTGAAATTACGCTTACTGTACCTAGTAAAGTTATATGGTAATTAAATAAGTCTATTACCAAAATTTCCAGTCATGAAGGTAATATTTCGTCAGGTCATGAATCTGCACAAGATAACCCCTTTTCCCGTGGTGGTCCTCCCCCTTCATTAAGATTCATGACCGTACTTTAACGAAATTTTAAAATGTCAGAATAGTGCTATTTTTAACTCATTACGAGAAGATTTCGTCCTCAAATTATAAAAAAAAGTATGATTGTTTAAAACTTAGCGGAGAAGTCTTACGATTTCGGAGCTAAAAATGACTTTAGATACTTATTTTAGAGAATGACCAGAGCTATCACCTGATTTTACTGCTCAAAGGCCCCATACTAAAAACTACTATGGGTGCAGATATTCGCAAATATATGGCTACATATTCGCTGTTCTCACGATAAAATTAAATGATTGGACTGATTAGTGATAACTCATGTGTAAAATTCTTCAGAAAGTAAGAAATGTCAAGTGACGACATAATATCACCTTCGTGATGTTCAGTTTTATAAATTGACATTTAAAAAATAGTTTCACACACAGTGAACACTTACGGAATATTGATGTACATCATTCATTATTATAAAATTATATCGCTCACTCTACTGCCTTGTACTTACATTTTACAACATATCTTACCACTGCTTTTTAAAGCAATTAATGATCGAATACTCTAGTGTTCATTTGTTAGATGAATCTACTTATAACTTACTATATTGATAGTAAATTGACAAAGTCATAATTAAAGAAAATACGTGAAAAATAATTTGGGGAAAATAATGATGGTGACCTAAATTTTGGAAGTCTGAAAATATGGTGTTTTTTTCGGAAAACCACCGACTTTCGTACCACTTAAATATGTCTCGTAAGGTACCTAGTAAAGTTATATGGTAATTAAATAAGTTTATTACCAAAATTTCCAGTCATGAAGGTAAAATTTCGTCAGGTCATGAATCTGCACAAGATAACCCCTTTTCCCGTGGAAACTCACATAGCCACTAATAGTCAAACAAAAATTGTGTCAAATCTGCTTTCAATGCTTTCAACGTTTTAACTGAAAAGTCTTATTTATCGTCACAGATTCTAGCTTCGGTGAGTGTTGAGATTCAACCGTTATAGACCTCATGTTCTTCAGTAATATATTATCTCCATCCTCAACTGTAGTTTTACTTTCTCAATATTGCGAGTAAACAGACAAACGTTTAAGCTAATCCATGTCTTCCATCATGTACTTGTACTTGTATTAAAAATACCATAATTACTAAAAATATTATACCAAACATATTATTAAAACAACAATCATTAAGTTAATGTACGGTACATTCCCACCCTATCTCAGGCCATCTACTACATACTTGTAAATCTACGATTTACCGTACAGTTTGGGAAAAGGAAAACAATAAGGTAAATCAGGCTTTCGATGTATGAGGTTCCTCTTCTTCTCCACAGAATACTGGAGTAATGGTTGACAAGCACTCAAGTAAGGAGGTGTAGAAAGGGAAAGTAACGAGTCTGACAAGCTTGATTTACATCGGACTCCCGCTTATAAGCCGTAGTGTAAAGGATCTGGCGATATCAAATATGGCAATCTGTTAATTTAAACTATGACCCAATTATAAATGGCAATGATGGTATCCGTAACACCGTTACGTCATATAATTTCGTCGTAACGTTATTACCTTATAATTACCTTATAATTACCTTATAATTACCTTATAATTACCTTATAATTACATTATAATTACATTATTACGTTATATTATCAGAAGCGAGCAAAGACGTTGAGAACAGGGATCCAGAAATACAGTACAATGAGCTGACTGTACGACGTTACAAGACCGCCTTTTCTGAGGATCACATTAAGAAGATTCTGGGTCTTAAACACAGGTACAGTGGGGGTAATCTAGCTAGATGTACAATGTACATTCACTACATATTTTAGTCTTTATATTCTAGAGACAGTAGTATTAGAGACAGTAGTCAATGATGAGGGGTGTGTGATGTGCAAGGGTGGAGTGGGGAGGATGGATGATGATGAAGATGATGATGTGAAAATGTTTTAAGTTTACATTACAATAACATTCAAATTAAAAGCTAGGCTTCTGAGGTAGATGAAAAGGAAATGCCAGATGGCCTGGTCTTTAGGGATGAAGCAATCTTAGGAAAGATGGGGTCCCAAAGTGAGCTACATTTGGGGGCACGGTCAGTTCGGTTCATGGAGGGTTGTCTTATCTGTATGGCGGCGTGTTCTGTCATGTCAAGTTGAGATCGTGTTGTAAGGGATTTGAGGACTTCTATGTTGTTCCAGGAGATGGAATGTCCAGTTGCAGTGTTCAGGGCATGATGGGCGGGGCGGATTTGATCCTGTCTGTGGAGTGTGGATTCGTCGAAAGCACTTGCACTGTTGAGTCTGTAGCATCGTTCGTGTTCTTTTCGGTGGATCAGGGGTCCGTATGTCTGTCCGGTATACTTGGAGGGGAATTGTGAGCAGGGTATCTCGTAGATGGTGTTAGGAGTGAGTTTAGTGGGCGGTGTAGTCTTCGTCTTGGTGAGGAGGCTGCGGAGAGTAGTGGCTGATGAGTGGGTGAATTTTGATGGTTCTTATGATTATTAAATCTGATAATCTGATTTTGGTGGTCCAAAAAGCATAATTCGTAGACGAGCTGGCGAAATTAATTTTGTATTTTTCTCGGAATGACGGAATAGTTATGTCCGGCCGGGCTAATGACAATTGATGCGGTCTCTTAATAAATTAAGAAATTCTTCGGAAACTTAATTTTGAGGTACAAGTTTGAGGATCAATAGATGGTTACCGTAATGGGTGCCACATGCCTAGCATGAAATATTTACCTGCTTACTTGTACTTGTGTAGGTCTGTAGAAGCATTACTATCGGGCGTTACCTGCTACAGGCTACCCAGGAACTATACTATTATATATATATATATATATACTACTAGAAGCTTGCTAGTTTATTGGCAAACTTATTAAAATAAATTTGCCAATAAACTAGGGCCCGTGACCGAAATTCCTCACAAAGTCACAACACAAGTTTTTTGTTGAGATCATGTTAAAAAGAAGTCGGGTCTGAGAGGTTGCAGTGTCTACTAACCGCAATCTTAGATATTTGCCAAAGTGCTTGATTTATTTGAGAAACACCATTTTAAAACTTATCTCACGACCGTCTACTTTCGATATGTTTAACTAATTACAAGAAGAAACTCGATACTGTACGGTTTACTGTTTGCGATAAGGTATCCACCACCGAACATATACATACTCTACAGTTTCTGTACAGTGTACATATTACCACGATAACGTATCATCCTACGCGGCTTTTAACCATAACAGCACGGCAAGAAGATAATTTAAAAATTATTAAACCTCCACCTGAGTGGTTAATTCGTAGCACGAGATAAGATGTTTTTACAAAGGTGTACTGGTGTACTGGTGTACTGGTGTACTGGTGTACTGGTGTACTGGTGTACTGGTGTACTGGTGTACTGGTGTACTGGTGTACTGGTGTACTGGTGTACTGGTGTACTGGTGTACTGGTGTACTGGTGTACTGGTGTACTGGTGTACTGGTGTACTGGTGTACTGGTGTACTGGTGTACTCAGTACTGGTGTACTGGTGTACTGGTGTACTGGTGCACTGGTGCACTGGTGTACTGGTGTACTGGTGCACTGGTGTACTGGTGTACTGGTGCACTGGTGTACTGGTGTACTGGTGCACTGGTGTACTGGTGTACTGGTGCACTGGTGTACTGGTGTACTGGTGCACTGGTGTACCACAGAAAATGGGACCTTGAAAAATAACACAAATTTGTATGAAGGAGCAGTGCCTAAAGACTCTTCATCACACAGTGTCAATATGTGTAGAATTTGCGCATACCAATTATCAAGCCTCTGTTATTTATATTGTATATAATTAATAATTATATTATAATATATACATAATATATAATATGTAATATGTATAATATAATATTTAAAAGCCTGTCCCCTCAGACACATGATGCAGTATGTGGGGTATGTTTACACGGAGGGGCTGCTCTATAGTGCCGCCCCTGTACACTCCATAGGGACCCTACATGACTGGTGCGCCAGTGCTAGAGCGGATATGTTCACTGTGAGTGTAAATTGGGCGGTTATTTTTCAGACTTTGTGTTCGATGTGAACATATTGTGAAAGAGACAAAAAAGTCTTTGTAATTTTTCCCTTTGTTCCCACATTTACTTATCTGTCGATATTTCATGACAATTCCGGTAATAACCCAAGCTATCTATTTAATTATAGTATATCTCACCCTAAACCAGAGTATCAAGTATATTTACCGTACTAATAATTTTGCAGAAGAAGAAAGGTTACGCAGCACAAGTTCTCCAAGGAATGCTGTTTCTCCTCTCCCAAAACATTACCCACGGCTCCCTCTCTATACACAATGGTACGAGTATTAAGCACATAGCAACTATGTTTTAACAGACTCTAGAGCAACGTCAACTTTTGCTTTTTAACTTTCACTAGACCACCAGTTCTTGACCTTTTAATGTTCATCAATACATTTCTGGCATTCTGCTACTATACAAATAAATGTCCACGTCAACATTAATTTTGAAAACATTCCAAGATTGTGACTGTGAGCAGTATTAAAGATACAAATTTACAGTATAATATAATTTCCATTTAACTACGATATATAAACATTATAATTATAAAGCGCCCACTACGGGCACATTATTGCTAGCACAACAGAACATTGTCTGCGCTCATGTACTCATGTAACCTGTATTATGTTCGTCCTATATTGTCTTATAATTGCGTTACACGTCGTATCAATAGAACCCTCTCTCTACCATGATATCCTTTACAAGTTAAACAGCACACTTCCTCTCCTGTCCTCACCTCTTCCCGCTATTAATGTATTATATTATCATGATACAGCAGTAGACGGGTAACCGAAGGGAAAATTGCGCGGTAAACCAAAATTCCCGGTAAATTAAGATGGCATTTTCACGTAAAAACAGTGATACAATAATTCAAGGAGTATTAATGCCCGGTAAATTGGAGCCTGGTAAATGAAGCGTTTACTAAACGAGCGGGCATGTTTCAGTTTGGTTGAGGGACAATTACTGTGCAGTAATAAGTGAAGCGGGGATGGTGGACAACATGAGGTCTGATAAGTTGACGCATCAAAATGTCATCACGTATCCGCTCGAGGTAAATATAGATTGGGGTTTTTTTATATTTTTATAGTTGGCAGTCGTTAGAACTATTAGAATGGAGCGTGATGGAGCTTTATCTTCTATTTTGGTAACAAACCAGGTCTCAAACCTTGGATCACCTCACCAAAGTGGCCCAGAAGGTAACTTTATCTTACTATTGGGGACTGTGAGTTAGATGAGTTTACGATTTCTCAAAATTTAGTTTAACACCCCTCATCCTAATTAAATAAATAATAATCCATTAAAATTACTTGTTTGAAGATTTTTATTCTCTTATTATACTCCTATTTCGAAGTTGATATTATTTTATAAATTATGTTTGGGTTGAAGACTGAAATATTGGGTTGTTGTTTGGGTTGAATCTAAGTAAACTATAGGTAAAAATATAATATTAATCATAAGCTAAAATGTACTAATCTTTGTATTCTAAATGGGGAAAAAGAAGAAACATTGTCAGTCAGTCGAGAAAATTGTCAGTCAGGCTATATGGCAGCTTTGTAGATGTTGTGACTATGCTAGTAGTGGTCCCAGGCTTGCGACTGGAATTGCGGTGTTAAATCGATTTAATGGTACCAACGATCCACCTCCCATTTGTTGTTTGGTACTTAGCATTAATAGTGTTAGCTGTAGCCATTTATAGCAAGAATCTTAAAACTAAAGGGGATGACAAGGAAAAGAGGAAGGAAAAAGAATAACGGGACAAACAATTTATTAAAGTATTTATAGGAGCATTAGATATTGTAATTACAAGCTTCAATAATAAATCACTGACTAAAACTTCTAATTAAAATGACACTTGGTATGCTCGCCCATTTTCACTGGTCAGTCTGAACTTCGGTTTAGCACGTTGTACACTTATTCACCTAAGTTTCAGAATTTGTTCAGTTTAGCAGAGTTAGTACCCGTGTTTCAATAAATCAAAAGATATCAGGGGAGTTCTTTAATAATGTTACGGTCATCTAGAATACCGAACTTCCTGAAAACGTTATCATATTTCCTCAGACAACGTTTAATGCCTTTAATCAGTCTATCACGGCTATATCCTCTATCAATTAGAATTTTGAATATTTTGTGAAGATGGGAGGTAAAGATATCCAATCTAGTGCAAACATTACCATATCTAAGAACTTGACTTGAAAAAACGTTGTAGCCAACCTCGGTTGGGATGTTACTGTGAGGAAATGTAAGGGATACAACATGAAAATTAAAATCATCAGTTTTGTTATACACTGATATTTCTAGTCCTTCTGTGGAAATATTAATATTTAAATCAAGGTAGTTAATGATTTTATTATTGGAACCAGCTCGCTCCATCTCCAATGAATTAGGATAAATATCTTTAATCAATTTATGAAAGTAAAGGTAGTTAATAATAGATAAATCGTCAACATATCGTTTATTATTGGATAATATCTTTGCTAATCCCATTTTCTTTTCCTGAAGTAAACGTTTCATATAATTAAATTCCTTTTTGCCAACAGTGAGATCAGCTATAGGGGAACTTGAATTTCCACCCATAGGAATACCCTTGGTTTGTATGAATACAATCCCACCGAAGACGACATAAGTGTTATAAATAATAAATTTAACAGCCTCTTTTAGGTCATCTCTTGCATGAGAATCATAGGTTTTATTGGAAAAGAAACATGTATTACTGTCTCTTTTAGAAATACAAATATATCTATTACGGTCTGAAAATATTAAATCAACAACTTCATTAATCATATTCTCAACTTCAATCAAGTCTAATCTGGTATAAAGAGTAGTAAAATCATATACTTGTATATTATAAACATCGCTATTTTTGATAGCTTCAAGGAATTCACTTGAGGAATCTATGCTCCAAAACATGTTTATACCGCTGTTGTTGTAGATTGCCTCGCAGTATTTCTTGAAGTATTTCCTCAAAAGTTTCAGACAACAGTTAACTTGGACGTTAAGTTGTTTCGTAACGCAAAAACGGGCACCTGCAATGAACCTCGCCTTGTAAGGGTTCTTATGAAGCTTAGGGTTCCAGAAGATGCGTGCTAGTCGCAAGTTTTTATCTTCAACTTGTACATTAAATCTCTCCTTTAGACTCTCAGATATTTTATTGACATAATGAGTCTCGTCTTCGCTACAGGGTTTATATGTATCATTACCTATACATTCTAGAGTATTAGGATCAAAACCCATTTCATTGACAAGAGTTTTTACATAAAACTTTTTACAAATAAATGAAAAATTACCAGAAGCTTTGTCGATACTACAAATAATGTATTTACTTTTCAGCAATTTAAGACTTCTTTTAACATCATCTTTTTCCAGTGTGTTTTCTTTTATTTCAAATGTTTCAGGAAAGTTTTTCTTGTAATATTCAATACGATTGGAAACTATTGATAACACTTTTTCCTTCCAATCGCTGAACTTTACTTCTTTTTGACTGAAGTATTTCTACGGTCAAGGTTACATAATATTTACATGCTAATTGTATTTAGGGTATTTAACATAATTGTTTAATTCATTGGTTGCCATGGCCACGAAGGAGGCTTATTTCCAGTTTACTCTCATCTAGGAACTGGCTAAGGACCTGGTACGAGTCCTGACACTTACAGTCTGATCTCCAGACTGAAAAGCATGTCTCGAGAATGTGTTCGAAATGTGTTCTGTAGTCGATAAAGCGTTTTCTACAATCTAGATCTGTAAAACCAAGTACGAGGGGCGCCGCCACGTCAGCCTCTAATTTCTCCACAATAAATCTTCAATTGTTCTCCCTTACAATTGAGTAAGAGGTGCGCCAAACACTTAATTGTTATAGTGATCTATTGTCTCGATCAGCTCCCATTAAGATTACACTTAGTTGAACAGCATGAGATAAGTTCGGAGTTCAGGATATAATAGTAGAACGTGTGGGACCATGTTATTGATCCGACATTCTGAGATTTTCTCTTCTAAACACCCGGTTCCGCTCCTGCAATATTCGGCAAACCGGAAAATAGGTTGATTTCCGGCCTTTTCCTACTCATAATCAATTTGCAATTGTGTTTGTACCGGAAAAAAATTATCTTTTTCAATTGGAGAGTTGCGAATAGTTGCCTCCAGACACTTAAGATAATCACCACTGGGCACTATCCATCATTAAACTGACAATATGACGGCGCAGTAACAATTCCCCCATCCCAGGTGTTGGAGGGTATGGTAGAGGACCAGGAAGTGATGTTAGACCCACGTACAGATACCTGGATGTTTGGTGTAATGCTCCTCCACATGTTCTCACCTGAACCCCTATACTCTCAGGTACGTGTTTTATAACGTGCTGTTTTTCAGGTTCCCCGTCGTACGCTTTATATTCTTGTGGTTTGTGATTCAACTGGAATGTTAAACATTAACGTTATTAAACATTTTGTAAGTTTGTTATGTAATATGTAGCATATTCATGATATTTGTCGTCACACGGGCCCACAACTTAAGTAATGCGGGTAAGTTAATAAAATATCTTATTCAAATGCTTTAAAGCACGTACTACTGTACGAAGTAACTTCAATAAAAGCTGATCGTGAGCGAAATTACTAACAAGACAATATCTGGATATAATCCATATAATGTATAGAAGCGATTAACTTCATCATAATGTGTAATGTATATTGTATGATATGTAATTAACTTCATGATCGGCACTCTTTTGATCCTGTCATCAGTGTTGTCAGATAATTAACATCCTTCAAATGTACAGAATGTTCTTTTCAGCTACAATATATAATATATAATATAGACACGACACGCAAACTTATCTCAAGACAGTAATGAGTGCCCCCAGGGTACGAGGTGTCTGTCTTTGTGTTAACACGAGTGTTAACACTTAAATAGATGTGTCTATGAGTTATGTTCCCATTTTTTTACGCTTGCCCCCATCTGATCACTGAAACATCAACTACACGCGTCATGTGACTACTACGGAACGCTATTCAGGAACGCTATTCAGCTTGTTTTAATTATAATAAAGTGACGTAAGACGTTTTGTAAGTTTCAATGATATAATATATAGTTTTAAAACACACTTAGTAATGTACATTACACTGTACAAGTATCTATCAAATGCAGGGATAGTGTTAGAGGGACTATCAGTTTATTTCATCATCTCACTCAAAAACCCAAACGAATCTATAATACCCTTATCATACTTTTGGTAGATATACAATGTACATTTACTGTACAAAATAACGATAGCTTGGAAATTAACACTCTGGCGAATGATAAACCAAACTCGTTTTCAACGTCATCTTTTTAGTGGTAAATAGTATCAGGTAAAATAATGTAAGCGTACCTGCGTCCCTGACAACTTTATGGCATAATCTTATTCAAATGTGGCTGAATGAAACTAGCAATGATATTGCTCACCTATAATATCTGACTGTTTTAGAGTGGTTTAGTCAGTGGCGTAACGTTGCCTGTGGGCGCCCCACCCCCTCCCCGCCGAAAAAGCACCCTCTTCTCAAGAAGTGTGTTTCTAGATCAAAACGCGCAGTTTTGCTAGTACCTCAGTTAAGTTTTTCAAAATTTTCGCATTATATTCAAACGACGATTTGGGGGCCGTGCCACATAAGCCGAGAGAGTTGATGAATCCAGATTTTTGGAACATTTTTGGAACATTTTTGGAACATGTGCCAAAATTGTGCCAAAAGTGTGCCATGCATTTATTTGCCCTAATGAGCTCTAAATAGTGCCAAAAATAATTGTAAATGATGGATATATTTGCAAGCTAGGTCTAGGGGCCATCGAAAGTAGCATAACATTACCCAGGTTCATGGAATGAACGAAAATGAACAAAAATGAATATTGTCCTAAAAATGCTCAGAACGGTTTAAAATTGGTCGGAAAGTGTTTATATTAGTCCTAGGACCACTCAAACCAAGTTTGGGAATCACTGCATGTCTAGAACCGATGTTACCAATGTTCCAAAATGTTCCAATTTTGTCACAATAATCCTCCTGAGAATCCAGATTTTTGGAACATGGGCACATCGAAGTATTGGCTGTATTTAAGTGCTGGGAAGTCTCAATTCGGTTTTCTAAGATGGATATAGGTAAAAACTAGGCCTAAGAGCCATCAAAACTCAAATAACATTACCCAGGTTCATGGAATGAACGAAAATGAACAAAAATGAATATTGTCCTAAAAATGCTCAGAACGGTTTAAAATTGGTCGGAAAGTGTTTATATTAGTCCTAGGACCACTCAAACCAAGTTTGGGAATCACTGCATGTCTAGAACCGATGTTACCAATGTTCCAAAATGTTCCAATTTTGGCACAATAATCCTCCTGAGAATCCAGATTTTTGGAACATGGGCACATCGAAGTATTGGCTGTATTTAAGTGCTGGGAAGCCTCAATTCGGTTTTCTAAGATGGATATAGGTAAAAACTAGGCCTAAGAGCCATCAAAACTCAAATAACATTACCCAGGTTCATGGAATGAACGAAAATGAACAAAAATGAATATTGTCCTAAAAATGCTCAGAACGGTTTAAAATTGGTCGGAAAGTGTTTATATTAGTCCTAGGACCACTCAAACCAAGTTTGGGAATCACTGCATGTCTAGAACCGATGTTACCAATGTTCCAAAATGTTCCAATTTTGTCACAATAATCCTCCTGAGAATCCAGATTTTTGGAACATGGGCACATCGAAGTATTGGCTGTATTTAAGTGCTGGGAAGCCTCAATTCGGTTTTCTAAGATGGATATAGCCGTAAGCTAGGCCTAGGAGCCATCAAAGTCGTATAAAATTACCCATGGAATGACCAGAAATGAACGAAAATGAACATTCTTCTCAAAGTGCTCAGAATGGTTTAAAATTGGTCGGAAAGAGTTTATATTGGGCCTAGGACCACTCAAACCAAGTTTGGGAATCACTGCATGTCTAGAACCGATGTTACCAATGTTCCAAAATGTTCCAATTTGAGTGGTCTTAGGACCAATACAAACACTTTCCGACCAATTTTAAACCGCTCTGAGCAATTCCAAAGAGTTTACGAAAGAGTCATAAGGCCAATCAACAGACTATTCATTTACTGTACTGTTAAGATGGTTCGGTATTCTGCACCCATCGTATCGGTTCTGGGCATGCAGTGCAGTGATTCCATAAACAGTCAGACAGTCACACAATGTACACCCTATATTTAGATCACATCAGTTTCATTTGCTTTGAACAATTTCTGCTTGGAATGGGGCGTCGAAATTAATGCAGATAAAACTAAACTCATGAAATTTAATGCCCGTTTTGATACTTATCAGCCGGTTCCCCTCAAAATTGGTGATCACTTGTTAGAAGAAGTCGAGTCATACTGCTATCTAGGAATCGAAATACACAAATCCGGCACATTCACAAATGCCCGAACTGAGCTCAAAAAGAAAGCCATGCGTGCACTTTATGCCATGAAAAGCTCAGTAAACAAATCCAAATTATCATTCCGCTCTCTAACAACACTCTTTGATGGTCTTATTAAACCTATCGTTCTTTACGGAGCGCCTATTTACACACCTAACATGGCTATCATAAAACACATAACAAAACAAGTCGATCTCAATATGGATGCCGACACAAAAACAAAATTTCAAACTAGTATCCTCAAGAAAGTTAGCCTTCTGAACAGCGAAAAAGTTCACCTTCACTTTCTTAAATGGTCACTGGGGGTTAATCGTAAAGCCAGCAACGCAGGCGTCTGGGGTGAGTCAGGCCGCTACCCATTAATCTATGAATGTATTAACCTCACTCTCAAATATAGCCAACGTTTGAAAAATCTCAAAGATAACTCCCTTGTCTCCTTAGCTTTCAAAGAACAGATGAACATGAAATTGGACTGGTACAGGGGTTTGGAGCCTGTCCTCGCGCTAGACCCATGTTTCTCTACCGATCATGTCACAGCCTACCGCACACTCAAAAACAATCACTCCAAGTTACTTTTCGAAAGAAACCCGAGTATCGCAAAACCACCAAAAGAGGACTTTCTTATTCACAACGGTTTCAAGAAACGAATTCCTCCCCAATCAACACAACCCATCGGGAGTAAAATATTCACACCACACGTCATTACTAAAACTTTGAAATGTAACTTTAGAGAATATTGGGGGTCCTGTATCAACACTTCTCGGAAATTAGAATTCTATCGTGACCTAAAATCCAAATTTAACAAAGAGTATTACCTAGATAGTGTCATTAAATATGCAGACCGTGCTAATATCACAAGACTGCGGATCAGTGCACATCGACTCGAAATTGAACTTGGCCGATATAATCAAACTCCTCGTGACGAGCGAATATGCTCCTGGTGCAATATAGTCTTAGGTTCTGGTATTATTGAGAATGAAGATCGAATGCATCGAGGCGAAAAGTCCTAGACAAGATCCAGTCACTCATATCAAATCCAATCAAACCGTCTGCGACATCTTATTCTGTTCACAATGTCATCCCTGGAGCAAACGTCCTCAAATTCATCAGCAACAACAGTGAAATCATTGAACTTATCACGAACGAAAGTCAAGTCCACCTCACGAGAGTCGTTGCTAGGTTTGCCACTACGTGTTTTAACAACCGCAAGAAATTTTTTGACTCTCTGGCCAGTACATGAACAGTGAACACTGAAAATCACTGTACCCGCTTTTGTTTCTTTTCGCGCAACGACGAGTGCAAACTGCAAAGTGACCTGGCTCAAGCATTACAGCATTACCAAGGCGACTGAAAACAAAATATTCTATGTCAAATCTTTATTTTTCACTTTAGTTAAGTTATATTAATATAATAAATTCAAATCTTATGATATTGTTATTATCTTAACAGTTACTATTGTAGCTCAAGATTTTAAATTTGTATTCCTTGTATTCCTTGTATTCCTTGTATTCCTTGTATTCCTTTGTATCACATCACTTCGTGTAATAGATGTGTGGAAGCAAATAAAGATGTGATCTGAATAAGGTGATCCGAGCGTAGCAAGGTTATCCGATCTTATTTGGTGTGATCGGATGTAGAGGCGTAAGATCAGATCAGGTCATCAGCAATAGGATTAACTTAGCAAGCTTGTTAATGAATAAGAAGAGAATAAATAGATAATTAAGTTATACAAATCATTTTCCCTCTCTTTTAACCACAACAACTGCAACGACAATGAAAACCTTCACTAAATTGATGAGCCTACCTCTTTATCTACCAGTTCAAAGAAGCACCAGCAGTCCACCTCACTCAACCAACCCCTTCACCAGCAACCTTCATCCCTCAACCAACTCATTCACCAACAGCCTACCTAACGCAACCAACCCCTTCACCAGCAACCTACCTCGCTCAACCAACCCTTTCACCCGCAACCTTCATCCCTCAACGAACAAATACAGCTAATGATGTCAAAAATTTATATCAATATATTGGGGGATTATTAAAACCAAAATAGTTGCCCAATAAAATAATTTCTGCCTTCTCTTGGAGGTACGTGTGCTAATTGTACATAATTCTGAATGCAACTTTAAGACTCTGTTGGACGAAAATATAGACTCTTTGCCACCATTTTCTTACCATTCTGAGCGCTTTAAGGAAAATTTTCATTTTTGTTCATTTTCGTTCATTCCATGAACCTGGGTAATGTTATTTGACTTTTGATGGCTCTTAGACCTAGTTTTTACCTATATCCATCTTAGAAAACCGAATTGAGGCTTCCCAGCACTTAAATACAGCCAATACTTCGATGTGCCCATGTTCCAAAAATCTGGATTCTCAGGAGGATTATTGTGCCAAAATTGGAACATTTTGGAACATTGGTAACATCGGTTCTAGACATGCAGTGATTCCCAAACTTGGTTTGAGTGGTCCTAGGACTAATATAAACACTTTCCGACCAATTTTAAACCGTTCTGAGCATTTTTAGGACAATATACATTTTTGTTCATTTTCGTTCATTCCATGAACCCGGGTAATGTTATTTGAGTTTTGATGGCTCTTAGGCCTAGTTTTTACCTATATCCATCTTAGAAAACCAAATTGAGGCTTCCCAGCACTTAAATACAGCCAATACTTCGATGTGCCCATGTTCCAAAAATCTGGATTCTCAGGACGATTATTGTGCCAAAATTGGAACATTGGTAACATCGGTTCTAGACATGCAGTGATTCCAAAACTTGCTTTGAGTGGTCCTAGGACTAATATAAACACTTTCCGACCAATTTTAAACCGTTCTGAGCATTTTTAGGATAATATTCATTTTTGTTCATTTTCGTTCATTCCATGAACCTGGGTAATGTTATTTGAGTTTTGATGGCTCTTAGGCCTAGTTTTTACCTATATCCATCTTAGAAAAACGAATTGAGGCTTCCCAGCACCTAAATACAGCCAATACTTCGATGTGCCCATGTTCCAAAAAATCTGGATTCTCAGGAGGATTATTGTGCCAAAATTGGAACATTTTGGAACATTGGTAACATCGGTTCTAAACATGCAGTGATTCCCAAACTTTGTTTGAGTGGTCCTAGGACTAATATAAACACTTTCCGACCAATTTTAAACCGTCCTGAGCATTTTTAGGACAATATTCATTTTTGTTCATTTTCGTTCATTCCATGAACCTGGGTAATGTTATTTGAGTTTTGATGGCTCTTAGGCCTAGTTTTTACCTATATCCATCTTAGAAAACCGAATTGAGGCTTCCCAGCACTTCAATACAGCCAATACTTCGATGTCCCCATGTTCCCAAAATGGTTACAAAAATCAAAATTGGAACCACCTTCACATCGGTTCTAGACATGCAGTGATTCCCAAACTTGGTTTGAGTGGTCCTAGGACCAATGTAAACACTTTCCGACCCATTTTAAACCATTCTGAGCACTTTGAGAAGAATGTTCATTTTTGTTCATTTCTGGTCATTCCATGGGTAATTTTATACGACTTTTGATGGCTCCTAGTCCTAGCTTACGGCTATATCCATCTTAGAAAACCGAAGTGAGCCTTCCCAGCACTCAAATACGGCCAATACTGCGATGTGCCCATGTTCCAAATTTATGGATTCATCTACTGAGCCGAGAATACATCCCCTGAGAAGGTCTACTTTATATGATGAATGTAACGCGCGGCGCATCTTTCTATGAATACTTTGGCGCGCTCACCAAATCAAAACATGCGCGCGCGCTGCATGCATATAATATAATATAATTAATATATGTTATATATATTTATTATATATTATATAATATATTATTATATTAGCGACAAGTAGGCAAGAGATACGGCATTGGTGGACGTGAGGAGAGTAAGGACTCCTCAAACTACATTGAGTACATACCGAGCTGTATTCCATCACAATACGACACAATTGACAATACTTGCATATAAGTTAATAAGGGTCCTAATGGGGTATAAATCAAGAGGCTTGCATATAATGAACATATTGACACGGGTGCAGAGTTGAGTCTGTACGGAACCTAGTAGTTTCAGATCCTTGTTTAACTTGCCGTACAGCAAGGTCATCCACTACTTTAGCCCGGCGAGGCACATAACTCCCTCTACAACTCATATATGAGACGCTTGACAGGTGATTTCCGCAACGACGCAGTGAAACTTTGCTGAAATAGCGCTATTATTCTAACATACATTTTTCCTCGCTTCTGACGTTGTTTAGAAGGAATCTAAAGCCTACATCAAAATTATAAAAATGCTATCTTATATGCACATCCTTTTTTTCAGACCTTGATAAAGATGGCGAGTTTTCAACTCCATTTGCGAACTGTTACAACTGTTTCATGCGAAGTGTCCCTTTTTTGTCACTTTTCAGTGTTTTCAGCCGTTGCCAGCGAGATTTCGTCGAGTTTAAAATATAATATAGATACTATATAATCTGGATTCTGAAACGAAATCCAGCATACTGAACAAATTCAAACAGCTCGGTAAAGAATACGGTATTAGATGAATATTCAGAATATTATTGCAAATATTAATACTGACAAAATTCTTGTACCGATTTGGGGTCACAGTTAAACAAATATTTAACTGTGTCTTCGGCAGAACAGCAGCAGCTGCAAAACAAAGAAATTACTAGTCCAATTCTGTTCTTATATTTCCTAGAATATGATAAAATACAATTTTATCATAATATAAAGAATTCCGAGAAAAATTTTGAATAACTTTATAAAGTACCGTGACAGTAGGATGTTTAATATTTTTAATTGCTGAGAAATTTCACCATATGAGTAGGATTATTTTAATCTTTTTCTTGCTTAGTTTTAAAAATAATACCATCATGAAATACCATATTTTGTTTATCATATTAGAAACCGGGGTCCATCCCAGTGCATATTTGGCGCACTTACCGTCTTAGCTGAACCGTCTTCAATCGTAAACGAGATATCAACGTTCTTCACCCAATATGACGGAGCCACAACTTTATCCGTCATCATTATACTGACCCAGCTGATAACCACACGGTGGTCCTTGTGGTGTCCGGAAGCTGCTGCCATTCTTAACGGGAAAGCTCTGGGCGAAGGAGACGCTAACAAAACATGGGTATGAAGTTGAGAGTGGTGAACTCTGTGTTAGTGTCGAGTGGGCTTGCTGTGGCGTCCTACTATTTGACGATCTACCAGGTTCCGTTATTCTTATCTGATAACGATGTCAAGAGTATATTTATGGCCACTTCTGGATTATCTGTCTTGCTATAATAATATCTATACCTCTTCAAATCAAGGTATATTTTCATTGGACTATGAGCCTGCTACCTTATTTAGCTCTCAATCGTCATGTGGAGTATCTCCATACCTGACCTGAGTTGTCTCATCCAGTTTGATTGTGTTGGTAACCGCTGCACTGAAGCTTAGTACGGTGAACATTGAAACAGAGAGAAAGAAAGAAAGAATAGATTGCGATGAAAACGGTGAAGGGGAACCATGGAACCCCTCCTCCCCGAGATTCAACGAGATGGGACCTTTCTGATGGAATAAGATACTATATTGCCGGGTTGGCGGATCGAATCCCGAACGGTAACCCTCGACTTCTATGTATCCTTCCAATTAGATACTGTTTTTCTTGTCAACAATATTATCTATCATAAGGTTATAGTTTTCTAAATTAAACGCGATTTTTTTAATGAGTTCATGAATCACGTCCATGTTTAAAGATTATGACAAATAGCATTAATTATGATACTCTTGAAATGTTAAGATAATCCCTTTCATTAAGTTCAAATTTCTTCCACCACAGTCGAATTCCTCTGAAGTGTATTGGTTGGAAGCCTGACTGCAGTAACAACTGACTCCCTTACGCTGTGCATGCTAATAGTAGACATGCGAGTAGAGAACTCCTGCTCCCGCGTAACCGCCTGCTTGCCCAGAGCCCACAACACTTTGTTATCCACGTAGGTCTTGAAGCTGGTGATGTTGAAGTAGAATATGATAGGGTTGGAGAAGGGTGATATAAAGGTTGATACTGCCGCTACTGTGTACAGTCTGACGTTATCATCTGTCATTGGCTGTTCCCTGCGGGAAATGACTGTGTTGGGAAACAATAGCTATAGTAAATCCAATACCCTGTTAGGTATACAGTATCAGATAAATCATGCAGCTGATCACTATCTATAACATGTAGCTGATCACTATCTATAACATGTAACCGATCACTATCTATAACATGTAACTGATCACTATCTATAACATGTAGCTGATCACTATCTATAACATGTAGCTGATCACTATCTATAACATGTAGCTGATCACTATCTATAACATGTAGCTGATCACTATCTATAACATGTAGCTGATCACTATCTATAACATGTAACTGATCACTATCTATAACATGTAGCTGATCACTATCTATAACATGTAACTGATCACTATCTATAACATGTAGCTGATCACTATCTATAACATGTAGCTGATCACTATCTATAACATGTAGCTGATCACTATCTATAACATGTAGCTGATCACTATCTATAACATGTAGCTGATCACTATCTATAACATGTAACTGATCACTATCTATAACATGTAGCTGATCACTATCTATAACATGTAACTGATCACTATCTATAACATGTAGCTGATCACTATCTATAACATGTAGCTGATCACTATCTATAACATGTAGCTGATCACTATCTATAACATGTAGCTGATCACTATCTATAACATCACTTCGAGATGGCAGGGCCTACTCTCATGCTGTCTATAGGTGATGATTAATTCTGAAAAACTAAAAACTAAAAAGACAGCATGAGAGTAGGCCCTGCCATCTCGAAGTGATGATAATAATTAAAATGTTTCGCAGATTGGCAATTGATCGGTGTAGTTGGTGTTGTACACACTGCACTGATAATGATATCACGTTGAACGTGTAATGTAAATATAGTGTGGATATATGCGAATATATATTCTAAATAACTGCAAAACTATATATAACATGTAGCTGATCACTATCAGTACTATACTACTAGTTAACAACCCTTAAAACTAACCTTACAACTGCGAATATAACAACGCTTAAAACTAACCTTACAACTGCGAATATAATAAAGGGAAGGTAGGAGAGGAGGTAAGCGATGGAGACAGCCAGAAGAGCAAACACCCCATGTCTTGTTAGAGTCCTAACCCTTCTTATGAGCAGCATTAACCAGATCGCTGTCGCTAGGATCACACCAAGTGGTACTAAGAGGTTGCTGTAGAAAGTAACTTGCTCGAACGGGCCCGGGGGTTTGAACCTGTAGTCCAAAATGCACGCGAAGACGAGCGGGCTGAATACAATGTCTCGCTTGGCTATCACCTCCCGAACGATGATCAAGATGATGACGCAAACCCACAGTGTGACCGATATGACAGCGCCACACTTCTTCGTTCTCAGTCTGGCACGAAGTGGAAATGACAGTACTGTCAGCTTGCTGATGTTGAGACTGGCTATCAGGTAGGTACTCATGAAGCCCAGGACATACAGCACGTAGGTGGTCACCACACACAGCCCATTCCCGTAGATCCACTCCTGTTCCACTGTAGATCCCACCGTAGGCAGGATGATGAAGACGGTGAAACCAATGCTCGCTATAGCTAGGTTCTGGATCAGGACAACTGAGACCTTGTCTAGTTTAAGAGCGTTAGAGACTAGCGAGCAGAGGAGGAGGGTGAGGTTACCAAGAAGGGAGAAGATGCCAGTCACCAGGCACCACGCTATCAGACAGTATCTACCGTAGTCTGGGACGCTGTAGTACATTTCAGCTATATGTGGTTACGGAGAGTTAAGTTTCAGTGTTTTCTATAAATAATTGTTGGGGGGGGGGGGCATATTAAAATGTAGGTTTTTTTCATATTTTGACCCGGGGATATACTTTAATATACTTTGATATGGTTGCACTAATTGATAGCATATTATTTTGCACAGATCCGTGTCAGGTTGCATAAACAAGAAACATATGGTTACATAGAAATATACACGATTTTCAAATTCAATATAGAATTATATTAACTGGGCGGCGCTTGGCATGTCACTTCGCCATATCTGCGTGCTTATATAAACAGTAGAGACTGGGCCGTCCCCAGGTTGTATGGAATATGATAAAATACGCCATCACGGATCGGGAAATTGAGCGGCCGTCCACAAAAGAAAAGCGGCCGCATTTCTTGTTATTCAAAAATTCGATTCTTTAAAGAGTGTGTGGCCTCCAACAATCGAATTTAAATATTTTTGCGTCAGAATCCTCGAATGAGTAAAACTACAATATGGGATAATATACAAAGTTACAAGTCTCAAAATAGCAATGTTGCAAGCCGGCAAACTTAATCTATGGTGTGAGGATATGTTTTAAAACAAATCCCCCTCTAGAGTGAGGAGTGGTATTAATTAAAAATAGCAAGAAATTAGGGAGTCTGGACAGTGCACTAACACCTACTATAAGTATGGGCTCAATAATTCATTATACAATTTACTCAGGTCCTAGACAGCCCATCTGTTTGGAGATTGCTCATTTAGTACTGCATACTTCAAAGTTGGTATTATGGTTATAAGCAGTGAGGCGTGGCCACTCATCATTATAATCTATTGGGTATCGTGGGTATTTGTACTGTTCAAATATTATAGTTAATGGTGAAACTGAGGTCGTCTAGTTCTAGTTTTTTTTTCGACACCATGTTGAATCGTGATCAATCGATGGAACTTATTTATTTCCATTCACGATTGACACGGATTCGAACCCAAGATCGTTTGTATCCGATAGTCCTCAATCTATGGTATCGTTGATAATGGCCACATCGTTCATAATTCTTACCATGCAGTTGGTTTCTCCAAAATCGGGCAAAAACCGTCCATATTTTCATATGTCTATTTTAAATTACAAAAATAGCACTCAGACTTGTGAATCATGTTATTAGCATTCTGATGAAATGCAGAGGGATAAAAATCCTGAGATTCACCCTGGAATTAAGTCTATATTTGTCTGTTGGAGTTATTCTATCTTTTACTATCCTGCCCTCTTTGGCAGACAAGGTATTCTCGTGTGGGGGCAGATTTCTTGAATGAATTTGTTCTCTGGTTTGAGAAATGATCTTAGTTTACGAGATCTTAGCAAATGTGATGAGCTAAATGAAATTAGGGATAAAGCTGCGTGCAATAAATGTTAACGACAAACTGGTCCAAAAAATCTAAATTAAGGAACAGTAACTATTCGAAAGAATTCAATTTTTTTCTTCTAATATATATAGGGTTCTAGGCCCTGATAGTACTGCCATATTTCACAGACTCACTACAAAGAGTAATGACCTTTAGTTTAATCATTTTCCAATTACCTCACATGTATATTCTACTGTTACTAGAATTTACATGCGACCTAATTTGAAAATGATTAAACTAAAGGTCATTACTCTTTCAAGTGCCCCTGTGAAATATGGTAAGACTTAGCGAACAATGTTATCATATCAGCAGAACATATAACACTGTTGGGTGTAGAGCCATTGAACTTTGTTTTAATTCATTATTCAATAAAACGCTGGAGGCCCTTTCAGCGGGAGGTCCTTTCAGAAAGTCTTAACATTTGGACTGGGTAAGCATTTAAGATTAAGTAATGACATAATTATTTAATTTTGACATGATGAAGCGACATCACTCCAACAAGTTCACAAACAAAACTAAAAGCACTAGATTAAAATGGGATGACGGTTACATAATATATACTTAAAATTCTAATAATTTACAATAAAATGTCACAAATATGTAAGAAAAAACTAAAGCAATCTCTACTATAATTCAAAGAATTCTTTCTGTTGTCTGTCTGTCTGTCTGTACGACCGCCCACGTGCAAATCAGACGAGAAATAGGAAGTTGCGTAGTTACCGTAGTAACGGTGTTAAAAGTGCACTTGCACGTGCAAGGATTTGAGAGGGGCATTTTGATCGTTTTTTGTTATTACGTGGTGTTCAGTGCGAGCTATATTTTAATTGGCTGTATCTTCGGTTGTGATGGATATTTGTTGATGCTATAAAAAAATGACTACCAAAGAATACTATTACTATTAGCTTCCTCCCTGTGACCACGGGCTTTCTTTTTAAGTATAATATTATAAAGTTATAGTAGCAACTAAAGCAAATATAAATAAAGGTGACGGCTTTGTACTTGTAGTTACAATCTTGAAGTAATGGCATTAAAAGATTGAAACTAGGTTGCAAGAGCAGAAAACTATTCGAATGGCTACACATCTCAGGTCAAGGAAACAATAAAATAACTTTATGTCATGGGACATGGGGTCTACTATAATACTACTATAGTACCGTTTTTATAGCGATGGATCAACAAAATGTTAAGGAGTTATGTATTGGGTATTATTGATATATTAATATATATACATTAAATGAATCAGTAGTCATATATATATATATTAAATCAGTAGTCATATGTATATTAATCGACTATTATTTAGTAGTTTTGGTGTCCTAACTAACGACCAGGCGGCATAAATACAGTGTACAGTTTACTAATATTTGTAGATCAGGTGTTACAGAATGAAGAAAGGACAGTTGCGCTCTTTCTCGCCTAATCTGGATCAACCTAGATGATGAATCCAAACCGATTAAAAAACTGCTATATATATAATATATATATATATATCAATGCAGCCTAGCGGGCGGAAATTTATATCGCCCGCGCGTGCCATATATTATATGTCCTCGAGGGCGCCAGCCCGAGGACGACATATCCTCGTATAGCTCGGAGGGCCCGAGTGCTATACGAAATTCCGCCCGCGAGGCGATTATGATATGTATTATATCCCCAAGCGGTCGTTTATCACGAAGCTTCAGTTTCCAAAAATCACAGCAAATTAAAGTAAAAGATTTCAGAGAATTTACGAGAAAATCATGTTGCTTTTGGTTTAAGATTCAGAACAGGGCAAAATTACTGACTATAGAACATAAATATAATAGAGTAACCCACGAAAAACCGGACACTATCAAACAATGTTTGAGCTCATTGTTTCATGTATATTTTTTAATGTAAACGATCAAAATATAGGCACTTGCTGCATGAGTGTGAGTTTGTCAACTGTAAGCATCTACGAGTAGTTTTAAAGTTACCAGGAGAGTTTGAAACGGAGAAAACGTGAGAGTAGAACGTAAAACTCGCAAAAACATCATTTTACTGGCGGTGTCAAAATTGCTCTAACCAGAGCCCTCTCGCTTGCAGTAGCGCGCGACCGCCGAAGGTCACGCGTACGCGTATACACATGGCTATGTGAAGTGTCAAAACAGGGCAAGTTTCTATTCGGTACACAATATATTTACAAGTACAAACCCGGCCTAAATATTTAACCCAGAGAGCTCGAGATCACAGTCTGATCATGGACATTGAATATGAGAGTTAAAGATCAAATTCATAACATAAATTTTAATGGCAGTTTCACTTTCAAAACAAAAAACAGGGAACACAATAGAATTACACGTAAAATTTCGGCCTAAAATTTCAAGGTTTATCAACTGAAACAGTGAGCAATTTATATAGAAATGGTAAACACAAAACAATTAGAGAATAGACTAAGAGAATAGACAAACTTCAAGTCGCCATGAATTTTGTAACCATAGTAACAGTATGTCACGTGTTCAATATGAGCCCATCATGCGCCCGTGTGCCGACTGCGTGATATAGGGGATCGGTGGTGAGCTCAAAGCTGATAGTGATACATTCCTTTGTATTACTATATTGCTGTGGGAATTATTAATATTGAAGTGAAGTGTGGATCAATAATACATCAGCCCTACCGGGCACAAAATTAAAATGAAACTCTTATGATCCTGTCTCCGGGCTATATCGCTACTGGTCAAATTTCATGCGGGCTATATCAGCGGGCTGTAACAGCGGGCTGAGAAATATCAGGCCTTTTAACTAGCGGGCTGCGCGGGCCCGCTGGCGCAAATATAGTAATCAATAATAAACACATAAAATCTCTAAACCGTGTCCAAAGCACTTGGCTACTTTGATCAAGTAGCTAAGTACTGAGTCGCTCTGGTTGAAATGCTTAAAGATCTGGTACAAAACATTTGAGGTCTTTGCGGGAGTCATGCTACGGGACGAGTGGGATGAATGATACTGTAGGAATCTGAATACAGAAAATGCTCATTGGTTACGTTTTCCTCGTCCCCCTTTCTAAGATCATTTCTCCTTCAAAGAAAATATTTTTGCGGAGGTAGGCTCTGGAAAAATACAAGTCTAAGCTTCAGAGTATCTATCAGAATATACTCTACAAAGTTCCTCACTGTACGACAATGATACACTTCACTAGGACACTAGGTAGTAGGTACAGTCTTCACTCTTCTGATAAGTGCTTTAAATAGTAACAATTATGTGTTTTATCTAACATATGACCAACAATTATGCAGTAATAGTTGTCGTAGTAGCAAACATTTAGCGATAATTATCGCACAAGTGGGAATAATTGATCTCTTCCCCTCTTTAGTTGAACTATCAAATGTCGCTGATCATAGTATATATAAAATAGCGACAAACCGTCCAACCCTAAAGTGGTGTCAAGATAAAATAATATTTATTTATTTTGTGATTTTGACATCACTTGAGGGTCCAAATTTCTTATTCCTTGGCCAATTTTTTATTTCTTTATACTGGTCAAAAGGCAATGGTATATCTTTCACGGGGGACTCTAGAGCGGGGGACTCTAGAGCGGGGGACTCTAGAGCGGACTTGGTCGGAAGTAGGACCCTAGAGCGGACTTGTTC